TTGCTCAGGACACTCTTCCCCAGCTCCTCTACCCAGGACCCTGGAACCATTCCAGCCATTCTGTTCTGAAAATGACCTTGCAGGGACTGATAGTTTTTCCTAAAGATTTTTGTTCCCACACTGAAGTCTTTGTCTCCACAGTTGAGAGCCTAGTTACCCACATTGGTTCCAAAACTCATTCAGGGCTGGACCCTTGGGAAGGAGAACATTGTATCCTGTTTCTTTCAGAATGAGTCAAAGAATTTTTTTAAAAAGCAACAGAATCTTCAAATTCTTGATGAGGTGTTGGTGAAATATCTCTCCTGGATCTGTCTGTAATGATAATAATCAAGTAGTATTGAGCTCACTTAGATAAATTTATTTTTAATGAAAAACAACTGTATACTCTACAAGCATAGGCAAACTGGATAATACCTACCCACTTCCAAAGGGAATTTTAAATACACACAGTATTTCAAATGTGTTAATAGACAGACTTAAAACCCAAAGTGAGCAGAAATGAAGAAAAATAGTCTGACCAAGTGTCATCATTCTTCTCCTTCACTGGGCTGGACAGTATACATGTTTTGGATGTTTGCCAAAATCAAATCCACCTTCAGGAGCCAGTCTGTCAACCACTATATACCTACTATATGCAGTATATACTGTATATGCAGTATATGTGTGTGTGTGTGTGTGTGTGTGTGTGTGTGTGTGTGCGCGCAGTATATACCTACTATATACCAGGCGCTGTGCTAACTGCCAGGGGTACATAGGAAGGCAAAAGACAGTCTCTACTCTCAAGAAGCCCATGATCTAATGGAGGAAATAGGAATTGCCTCTTTCTTCACATCTCTGCTGTATTTGCTATGGTTGGCTGTCTGTCCTTTTCTCCATTCTACACTCTTCTTGCTGGGTTGGGGGTTTTTTGTGGGGTTTTTTTTTGCAATACTGTTCTCTCATGGTTCTCCCCTTTCTTTTAGGATCACTCCTCAGTCTCCATTGTAACATCGCCATCCATGTCATTCTCCTAACTCTGGACTTTAGAGTTCTGTCCTGGGCCCTCTTCTCTTCTTTCTATACTTTCTCACTTAGGGATCTCATCATCTTTCATGGGTTAAATTATCATCTCTATGCCAATAATGACCAGATTGATATATCCAGGCTCAGTTTCTCTCCTGAGCTTCAGTCTCACATCACCAGAAGCCAAGAGGACCTGGATATTCACCTCATACCCAAAATGGAAATCCTTATCTTCCCCCTTACACTCATCCCTCCTTCAAACTGTACCATGAGGATATAATTATCCTTCCAGTCACCCAGGTTTGCAATCTTAGAGATCTCCTCAAACCATTTTGCTCCTTCCCACCCCACTCCCATGTAATCTACCACTAAGTCTTTCTGATTCTACTTCCATCTCACTTTCATTTCCTTCTTTTCATTCACACATCTATCACCCTAGCTCCAGCTTTATCACTCCTCACTTGGTCTATTGCAGCAGCCTAATTGAATTCTCAGATCCCAAATTATCCTCTCTCTAAGTCATTCTCTTCCATGACTGAAAAAAAATGATCTTCCTAATTATTTTTGACCATGTCACTGACCCACTCAGAAATGTGAATGGCTCCATTCACATTTCCTCCAGGATCAATTGCGAATCCCTCAACTTGGTATTTTAAATGTTTCACTCTATAGCTCCAGACTACCTTTGTAGACTTATTGCCCAATATTCCCCTTTATAGAGGCTACAAATTAGCCTACTTGTGTTCTCTGAACATAGCATTCTGTGACTTTGCCTGGCCATGCCCCATGTCTAGAATGCTCTTCCTCCTTACCTCTGCCTCTTTGAATCCTTAATTTCTGTTAAGACTTTCCTTAAGTGCAACTTCCTACATGAGATCCTTGTTATCATTCATTCATTCATTCATTTTCTAATCCCCAGAGTATTGTGTGTGTGTGTGTGTGTGTGTGTGTATGTGTGTGTGTTCTCTCCTCCTCCAAGTTTACTTACCTGTTTACATTTCTAATCCCCACAAAAGCATTAAGATCCCTGAAGGCAGAGCCCTTTTATTGGTTTCATTTTTATGTTTTGTCCCAATCATGCACCACACCATAGGCACTCAGTTGCTTGTTAGATCAGATGGATATTTGAAAGCAAGTACTTCCGGGTCTGAGGCCATTCCAAAACAGGAGTTACAGGATGACTTTAAGCTACAGGAGCACTAGGCCATCTCCAGTTATTCTGATGGATATCTGGCCACTGGACCCAGATGGCTCTGGAGGAGAAAGTGAGGTCGGTGACTGCACAGCCCTGCCTCACTCAAACCAAAGTCAATGGCAAGTCATGTCATCATCTCCCTGATGTCACGGTCTTCTTCAAGAATGAAGGACAAACCACAACCACACAAGCTACAGGAGCATTGCTGACTGTAGAGGCTGACCTTGATGGAGACAATGCATATTTGAATCATTAAGTTCTGGTATGTTTGCATGTTGGTTTCAAGTTCATGTGATTCATTTATTTGTATTATTACTCTCTAAGTCTCTGTTTCTCTCATAAATATTTGTCAATTAGGCTACATATTATTTATATCACGTGGGGTGAAATGAATTGCAAGAATCTCCTGAGTATCTGCAGCTACCACACTGGCATTCCTAACCCCCCTTACTCAAAAATCTTCAGTAGCTCCATTTTGCCTATAGAAAAACACATAAAACCTCATTCTAGCTCGTAAAATACTCCACAATCTGCCATCCACCAATATTGCCAGTCTTATTTCTGTTGACATATTGTGTTTTTAGATCATCATTTCCAAATATCCTTTCTCCTCACCCCCACTCCTTTACCTAGTAAATTATCCTTTGTAAGATGGCTAGGAAAGGATGGGGGAAGGGGGATGAGTAAAGTAGTTCAGAAAAAAATCAAAGACTCATCAATTCCTAAGGATCCTTATTAAGTCACGGAAGAGTCCCCATCTGTTCTGGAGAGAGAGTACACAGGCTCAAAAAACTCAGATTTTTGAAGCATTGAATTCCTTCTGTAAATTATCTGACTAAGAATCTGTCCAGCCCTAGGGCAATAGGCAATTGTTTATTGTTTGGTTATGTTTGTGTAAATGGATCCCGGGGAATGCTAATAAACATTTAATAACCATCTGGGGGAAGGAAGAGGGGTGGAGTGTGCAGACAAACTTTTAGCTTTAATCTGCATTAACATTTTCTTAAGTCTGGACAATCAACAAAATGATAACTCAATCCCTGATTTGTGGCAATGGCTGATTTCCGAGATTAAATAAATGCTCACAATGAAAATTAAACACTTGGCCCTCACCAAGAGTCGGAAGAACTGCTTCCAGCACATCCCTGTTTGGATCATACGACAAACTATCCCACACCACAAACATTTAGTAAATGCCTGCTGCATACTGTGGGCAAAGCACAGACAGCTTTTGTAGCAGTTTCTGAATTTACAGAGTTTAGGTCTTTGGCCTCTGAATCATTACCTTTAAATGTTCATTACCTTTCTAAGTCTTTCTATCTTTCTTGTTTTTTTCAAAGCTCTTTTATTTTTTGGGGGGTGGCAATTGGGGTTAAGTGACTGGCCCAGGGTCACACAGCTAGTGAGTATCATGTGTCTGAGGCTGAATTTGAACTCAGATTCTTCTGGCTCCGAGGCTGGTGCCCTATCCACTGTGCCACCTAGCTGCCCCTTTCTATCTTTTTTAATACCATTCCCCCTCACATGCTGTACAATCCCTACTTCCCTTCAGAGCTCAGCCAGGTATCTCTCCTTAATGAGGTGCCCCAATTTCCCTAGTTATTAATCCTCTGGCATCCTCTTTAAATTACTATATCTAGTCTTCTGTTTACTTTGTATTCACTTATCTGAGGTACATGTCACATCTTCCTAGTAGAATGGGAAGCTTTCTGAGGGCAGGGGCTCTTTCTCTCTTTTCCTGGAGCTTAGAACAGTACCTGGCACATAGTATGTGATTAATACTCATAGGTGATTAATTACCTTTTCATAGGTGATTAGTACTCATAGAACTGAATGTGTACATAATGCCTCTTTTAGTGGAAGGATAAAAGCTCCTATTATGTAACTGCTGAGTAATTCCAGGGTATGCATTATTTCTCAAATGGGCTGAAAGCTCTCTGGTGCTGGTTTGTATCATGTGACCTCTGAGGGTCCATTCCAGTTGAGATTTAGAGTGTATTTCTGTGTTTGAAAAATCCCAGTATCTTTCCCCATACCTATACACACACCCATGACAGTGTACACACTCACACATCCATACAGAAGCCAATACTTAGACACGTCTATGTATATACGCTTCTCAACCAAAGAAAAGGCCTGGGGAATAACAGCATCTAGAACCACAAGGAATCTTAGACAGCAAGTCCAAATGTTTCATCTTAAAGATGTCCAAACAAAACTGAGGGCCAGAGAGGGAAAGTAACTGAATCGGGATCACAAAGGTATTTATTTATACATTTCATGATCATAGACTAATAGACTTATAATTAGAAGGGACATTAAATGTCATTAAATTCAACCCTCTCATTTTACAGGTGAAGAAACTGAGGCTTAGAGGTTAAATGACTTCCTAGGGTCACCTATCTTGTGCTTGAAACAGAATTTGAATCCGGGTCCTCCTGACTCCCAAGTCCAATGTTCTAGTCACTATTGCACGCTGCCCTAAGCATGGAAAGATGCAAAGCTGGGATTTGAACTCAAGCCTTCAGATCCCCAATTCAGGGTTCTATCTTTGAAATCTGCATTCCCTCCTTTGTTTGATGTTACCATTCTTATTTTATACACCACCACCACCACCATAAAGGATAGCTGGAAACCTCTTTCAGCAGAGCCCACTAAATCTGTGCAAGAAACTGGGAACGAGGGAATTGTTTCTAAGCTAAATGAAGTGTCTCTGACCCACTTTGGCCAAAATGCAAGTGAGGCTTCTTCCAGATGGCAAGAACTCTTTGTACATGCACAAAAAAATACTGCACTCACCATGGACAATACAAAGAGGTTATATCAATTTATTTCTCATGTAACAATTGATTAGTTTTGAAAATTTTCCATTTTTAACATTTAATTCCATCTTTCTTCTTTAAAAAAAATCAGTAAAAGGACAAAACCCACACAAAAAATACAGTCTGTATCTGCTCCATATTTACAGATAACTGGTCACTATTAAGGCACAGATTTAAAACTAACATTTGAATCTATCAATTCCAATGTTTTGTGCATCACGTAACACTGACCACACTGCCCAAGGCAGCATTATATTCCCTTCGTGGAATCCAAAAGAAGTGAGAAAAATTCATTTCCAGTGTTTTTTGTTGCTGGTTGGGTGATTGGGTTTTGCACCTCTGTTGACTACTGGAGGGGTCCTGGGGTATCCTTCACTTTGGTATAACTAGCCAAGCCTTAATCTCAAGCCACACAATCTACTGAATACCAGACACATTTTACCTTCTTTCTCTAGCTGCAACGCCTTGTGTTGATCTCACAAAAGAAACAACTTATTTCCCAACTAGGGAGGTCTTGTTCAAGGAGAATGGCAGAATTCAAGATACTAACTCAGCTAAATCTAAATCTCAACTGGGATTCACTACCTGGGGCAGATAATTGAGCATGACAGGTTTAAATGAATAAAGCAGAAGAAATGACCAGAATCAGATCTATTTGGAGGAAAAGGCATTCCAATCCCACATCATGAAAAAGATTTGGCCCCATCCCCGGGTAAGCAGTCTCTCATTTGCAATTATTACTGATTATTCCATGATTACCTTTTTATCTATGCCTTCAATATGGCCACCTTTATTTTTTAACGTGAAAATTTTTCTGTGTGTGTGTGCAAATTTTCTCCTCAATTTTCTTTCCTTTCCTTAAAAGTAGGATTTCTCCATGAAAAAGTGTCAAGAAAGTATTTCTCATCCCATGTTTCCATTTTTAAAAAACCACACAATAAACTCAACTACTGTAAATGCTTATCTTAATGGCTTCTGCTTAGAGCACTTGACAGTGGTTTGTGTCCATTTTTAAAGTTCTGAATACTGACCATAAATAAGGCTTTACAGTACAGGTGAATCCCAAGATTTCCTATGGGAAAGTATTTCTACAAATTTAATGCACTTGGAACCTGACTGGGGAGAGAAAGAGAGTGAGAGAGAGAGAGAGAGAGAGAGAGAGAGAGAGAGAGAGAGAGAGAGAAGAGAGAGGCAGGCACATTTGGACTTTTTTTCTTCCATGTAAACCCTTCCTAAGTCTATAAGAGGATGTCTGAAAAGAGACACAGGGAACAACATCGCCAGGTTCTGTGGACTTTCACAGTATCAGAATGTAATCAGGAGCTCTGACCATGGACATTGTGGCCTTGGGTATTTCGAGCCTAGCCATGGTTGGAAAGGGCACATCTGAAGATGTCCAACTTCCCCTGCCCCAGATGAATCGCAGCCAAACAATGCATGTGATGGGGATACCTCCTGTACTTGTCCAATGCCTCCCAGTGGCCTATGGAATCAGCAGTGGCAGCTGCTTCCCATCATCACAGCATTGGTGCTGTCTTGTCAACTATGATTAGGTATCTGTTTAAACAGGGTTGGATTTGAGCTCCAGTCTCATGAATGCCATTCATTCTCTACCATATGCTTTAGCAGGTCTCAATTTCCTCTGTTATGTATGCTAATGCTTATAGTACCTAAAAATAAAAGTCTGATATAAATAAATGTCCTTTAGTGGCAGTATACTAAAAAATAGCCCTTAGCCTTCAGACAACCATTAAAATCATTTCTTTTTGGCAATACAGGCAGCAGTTAAATATGTTGACTGCAAAGGATTAATATTGCAAGATTCATTTTGGTCTTTCATCACACTGATTACAGATGAGCGAATTTCAGGGCTAAAGGTTTCTAGGATGCAAAACCTAAATGGACAGAATTGGTCCAGAACCAAGTGAACTTTTTATATCACATTCCTCCTCCCCCCTCCCTCACCTACCATGAAGTTATAGGACAATATTCATATAGATTATAATCTTGTACCATCAGGGGGAGAAATTTTATCTAGTAGGAACACATGGCTAAATTTGATTTGGGCCAATATGAGTTGATATGAAAAAATGGGAGGGAGAAAAAAATAATTTCCACAGGACAAGAAATCAGGACATGTAAAGTGCTGAAAGACCTCAATAATTATTTTTAAGCAGTACCAGAAAATTCCAACTTGATAAAAAAAAAAAACCCAAACAACAAAAGAAAAAAACCCAAATCCAAAAACCCACCCCCAAACAAAACACACACACAAAAAAAATCTACGCTCTCTGGCATCTCGGATGTCAATTCTTAATCCTTCATTCAAAGTAAAAATTCAGTGCATACATTTTATAGGAAATAAAAAAAACTAAACCCCTCATTATTATCATTATTATTATTATTATTATTGCAAATTCTGTCGATTCTATATAAGAAAAAGAAATCCACATTTTGGTGTTCTGAAAGACTACAGACAAATGTTTCTTTTCTTTTTTTGGCACCAAGTACATGTGCAGGCAAAATGCTTTGGTCCTGGTCCCCAATGCCAAAGTGCTGAGGGTGGTGTGCAGTGACAGCTGGTCGGTCACAGGATTCCTGTGTCCAACTCTAGAGTTATCTGTGTGAGAAAGCCAAGGGCTGAGCGCTACCAGCGGCCGCTGACACTAGCAATGTCCGAATGATACTGACGCGGCAGTCTCCCACTGGCTCCTCCATCCAGAGAAGAGGCACGCGCGTTAGGTGGTTCAAAAAGTTTTCGTCGGTTTTTGTTCAGTTCTAGGGAAGAGAAAGAGAGAACGGGAGAAAGAGGAGGGGGGATGGGGAAGAACACGAATGAATTACCAAGAATTGAATCAATATCTAAGGTAGCCTATGAGACCTAGGACAGTCTGTTCTGTAGCATCTCACATTGACACCAGGATCTGTATTTACAGCTCAAGGTCTACTATTAAGAAAAGGCAAACTGTTTTGGTTAAAAAATCCACTGCCCAGTTAGAATATAAAGTAGTCCAATTATAATGGCGAAGGCTTGGCAATGCAGAGTGGATGCTTGTTAGTTACAGATGCGAAAGCAACTCCCAGAACCCTCTGGAACCCAGAACAACAAATCAAACAGCATCCTCTCCACACCCCTCCCCAATAATGTCCTTGTAGGAGGAAAGGAAGGCAGCCAAACTTGAAGATATGCATATTTAATAGAGTAGCTGGCACAGATTTCTTGCGTGACAGAGGAAATGAGGAACGTTATTAAATTTTTAAAGACCAAGCATGTGATAATATTTGGACGGTTACAGCCCAATATAGAAGGATGAAAAGTAGAAATGTACCCAGCAAAGAGGCAAGTATGAACCTGGAAAGTTACTTATGTGTTCAAACCCCAGACCCGACCCCGACCCCTTTCCTCACCCCCATGAACTGGTCACAAGAAAATCCTTTTGACTTCAAGTCTCTTTGTCTTCAGAGAAACAACCAATTCAAACAAACAATGAATAATCACATTGGTAAGACTGTCAACCCCAAGAAAGTTCCTACTGCAAATTAAGCATATCACAATTTTTTCATGAAATGACTTGGACTATTTCTTTATACCCAAAGGTTGGGCCAACTTAATAAATAAACAAAGATATACACACATACATATACAAATATACATGTGTGTGTGTGTGTGTGTGTGTGTGTGTATATATATATATACATATATATAAAGATTTATACATACAAATATACATATGTGTATATATATAAAGATTTACACATACAAATATATATGTGTGTGTATGTATATGTGTGTGTATATATATATACATATATATAATATATATATATATATATAATATATATATATATATATAAAATGTATGTATGCCTCAAAAGTAGAAAGCCATGAAAAGTTGACCTTGTTTCCAAATATCTAGGAGGTGGGGGGAAGACCTGTGATTTCATAGGGCATGGGGAACTTCCAATGAGAGAATTCCATTGACCAATGCAGGTCCACATCTTCTCTGTCTTCTTAGGAGAACTGCCAGAGGTTATGTGACTTGCCCAGGGTCACACAGGCTCTGTCGGGGTGGCTGTGCGTTGAGCTTAGAGTCTTCCTGACTCCAAGGCCAGCTCACTGTCCACTCTATGCCTCACTGACTCTCATAGGCTCTCTCATAAATAATAGAGACCAGAAAATAAGGCTTGGGTCTGGAAGGCAGAACTCTTCTGAATGAGGGCTTTTCCCCTGATTATGATAAAAACTAGTCTCTAAGTCCGTGATACTCAACCATTTGAACTCCTTTTAAAGTTTAAAAACATTTCAGTCCCTTTCCCTCTCCCCCTCTTCCCCCCACCCCACCCCACTCCTGGGTGATGGCAGTTGTACTACACCCATCGATTGAAGAAACAAATGAGGATTTTTAAAAAGCTGGTCTGGCCTCAATAATGCTTTTAATACAAATTTGTGTTTTATTCATCACAACAGGATGGATGCCCATTTGAAAAATAGTAACCCTTAACATGTGCAAGACATGACTTGCTCAGTCAGTAGATGATAGGTTTGCTAATTTATGAGATTAAGTCACTTAATGAGATGGCTGGGACACACGTGGTTCTGCAGATACTTTGCAATTACTCCTCTAGTCTTGCGAACCACAGTTGGTAGAACCACTCATAGAGCTCTACAAAGAGGCATATCTGCTACCCCCTTCAAATACAAGTATTCAATCTCATCACCCAAACCACAGTCACAGTTGAGCAGGAAAGCTGGCTTAACTAGCTGTTTAATGGGAATGGAGTAATACAGATTGCCCAGCAAGGTAGTGAGCTCCCACAAATGGAGATCTTCCAGCCAAAGCTGCAGGAGCACTTGTTGGGGGTGCATTTGAAGGGATTCTTGGTCAAGCTGGGGATGGGCCATCTGACCTCAGAAGCTCCCTCTAAGATTCCATGATTCCACAGAAAGGACCACAGGGACATCATTAGTTATAAAGTCTGCTGTTTGGGAGGATGGAAGCTTGATACTGGCATAAGTGCGATTTTTTTTAATGTCTCCCCCCCACACACACACTCATTACACATAGGATCTACTTCACAGTTATCATAATTACAACAATAGTAATAACCCTAGATCACATTTCTGAAGCAGTTTAAGGGCTGCAGAACATTTAACATACATGATCTCTTCTGATCCTCATGACAGTGCTATGAGGTAGCCGCTCTTTATATTCCCTGCTTAGTGACTTGCCCAAGGTCCCTCAGCTAGGATCAATTTAAACCCAAGTCTTCTTGACTCCAAGTCTAACACACTCTCTCTTTAGGGCACCACTCTGCCTCTCTAATAAGTTTTTAGTGTTTGCTGAATGTATGAATGAATAAAATATACTGTCTCATTTAAGTCTCCAAATTACCCTATGAAGGCAGGCTATTTATCCTTATTCTTCTTCCCATTTGACAGAGAGAAAAACTGAGGCTCACAGACATTAGTTGACTAGTTTTCCAAAGAGAATCAGGAAAGCCCAAATTTCCTGATATCTACAGAACCCAATTCTGTTGACACTATATCCATACAGTCTCCAAAATTTTGAGATAATTATCTCCCAAAGTTTTAGCCTCAAGGAACATGTACTTACATGAATGGTTTCCATTCTATTCACTGGGGTCAGGGATAGTAAGTGGGTGTTAGGAAAGAGTCAAAGGAGACCATGTAGAAGAACACTATTTATATCTTTGTTGGCCAGAATATGACTAATCAGGGGCCCAACATTGGGCAAACGAAGTTTGCACTCTATATACGATGTCTTGCCACATTTTTCCAAATGGTCCCAAAAAACCCAACTAAGTTTACCTCTGAAGAAACAAAAGGAGGCTGGCAGCATAGTACAGTGGGGGGAAAATCAATACATTTGCATCTAAACAACTTGGGTTTGCATCCAGATTCAGCCACGTATTTAGCTGTGTGACCTTGACCAAATTACTTAACCTTTCTGAGCCTCGGTCTCCCTGCCTGTAAAATGAGGCAGTGGGTCTAGATGACCTCAGAGGCTCCTTGCTGCTCTAAGTCCATGATCCTCAGGATCTTTAGACCCACTGTCTCTCTCTTACACACCCACCCCCAGATACAAACACATGAGGATTTTCTGTTTCTATAGACCTATGATGGAGGAGCCATAACGTTGTCCATGGGTGGAACACACTCCCTCCACCAATGATCTTCCAAAGGCTAGAGCACTGAGTTGGGAAATCCATCACCCGGTGGCCCACCTAGTGCTAAGTACTTATATCTTATAGAGAGGTCACGGTTTCAATAGAGTGGTAGCTCCTTGAGGCCAGGGAATGGTTTCCATTTTTTCTCTTTGTAGCCCTAGCACAGTGCCTAGACTTAGTAAATTCTTTCTGATTGGCTAATGACAGCTTTCCTGATAAAAGCAGTATATGTCTATCTGCCTGTACCCCCTTCTTCCTCCCTGCCAAAAAAAGAAAAAGAAAAGAAACCACCCAAGAGAAAGAACTCCACTGAGGAGTTTTCTCCAGGCCACAGGAAAGTGTGGGTGCCTTCTGGCTCCTTCACCTCTCAGGCTTTCTCAGGCCTCCATTCCCTAGTGGGAGGATAACTTACAAGTCCAGGAGATGATAGCTACCGCTAGGCTCCAAGGAACACGTGGGGAGCAAAGGCCATAAGGCCGAGGTGGATTGTTTCTGCAATGCTTTCTAGCCTTGATTTCTTTCATAGACAGACAGAAAGCAATGGAGGCCAAGACTCCTTCCCCTTGCACTAAACACGCTGGGAAGTTCAGGAAGGCAGTGAGATCCAGTACCTATGCTAACAAACTACCATTGGCAAGCTTGAGGATACTGCCAGGAAATGCCTCGTCCCGAGGGTCTTCAGAGGTGCCTGGGCCAAGGGCTGGCGATCCCGTCAAGAAGCTCAGTTACCCTGATGCCCTAAACCCCCCACATGCCAGAAGTAAGAAAAAAACCTAACTCTGAATAGATTACCACAGTTTACGCCCTAATGATGAACTATTTTTTCTTTCATTTTAAAAAGCCACTTCTTTCCTATTTTTTTTTTTGTTTCCAGCAAAGCTGAGGGATAGTTTAGGAGAATACCAACCTTTTGTCCTTGTATTTCCAAGGTTCACACAATCCTGGCCGCCCTCAGGATCTTGTTGCGCATCTGACCAGAGTCACAAACTAAAAGAATAGGGCGGGAGATGTTAGATCTAACTGAGGCCTGGGAGTGAAGCCTGCACTTCTGCTGGGTCCCTGTCTAGGCAGTGGGCCGCTTGCTACCAACGTCTTAAATAGGGAACAGAATTCCAGTTTTCTGAGGCAACTGAGCTGGGTTATGATGACGCCACCATGGCTTTCATTCTCTGACACCCCTTCTAAATGTCGATTTTCTTTGCCCTTAATTAACATGCTAAAAGAAAAGCCTTCTGGCCCCAATTCTTTGGTAACCTGGTACACTATTTAGAGCTAGAAGGGACCTTTTAGGTCTGACAGTCCAACCCTCTTTTTACAGAAGAGGAAACTGAGGCTAAGAGAAATGTCTTGCCTAAGACCACAAAGCACAGGTGAAGTTTGAGTCCCAGGCCCCCAACACAGCTCTGTCTTCCCTCTGCACCACCCTCCATCCATCCTGCTCTCTACCCAGAAGGTCAGAGTGGAAACATCTTTTTGCCACCCTGAAACAAGTAGAAACAATCCTTTGAGGCACATTAACTGCCATCTTTCATCTCAGAGGAATCCAGTTGGCCAAAGAAGCCTTCTGAATTCTGGCTTCTCAGGGAAGCTCTGCTGCCAGGTGACAAAAGGAGCCGCTAAGTTTGTTCCTGAGTTCTTTACAAAGGAAAACAAGCCACTTCAACATAGTGTCTTCCTCACACTATCAGTGCCTTCAAAAACAGTGTCTTATTCAAAGCGCTCTAGACCCTTCAGAAGCTGATGAGCACTTTAGAATGGCCCCATGGAACTAGATCACACAGGAGCTGATCGCGCTCTCCAGTGCCATCCAAAAGCCAAGGTCTTTCCCCAGTTGGTCTCTTTGGGGAAAGACAAAAAACACTTCCATGGACCCATGACCAGTTGGAAGGCACACTGACCTCTGAAGATCCCACAAGCTACAGAGCCTTTGCCAAGGAGTTCTTCACTAAATTAAGTGATGACTTTTCCTTGGCATCTATTGTGAGCAGAAACTCCAAACACTTTCTGAACCCCTCATCAACCAGAAGAATTTAGTACAGTCCCATGTTCCTCTGGATTATGCCAGCTGGGCCCTGCCAACATATTAGAGGCAGCAGAGATGTGGTATGTATTCAGTTTCATTGGCTTTCAAGGAGTGATCAAGCTTGCCTTCCAAAGTCATACGAGGTGGGAACTGGGCATTCATCCCATTTACTCAGCTCATTTCTGTTCAGGGGCTCCTCTCAGGGGCTCATTATATTTATTCCAAACCACAAAAGAAGTTTAAAAAAAAAGAAAGAAAACTGTCTACAGTCAAACAGGATTTTCCAAGAGAGTCTCAGTGTTTTGTGTGTTTTCTCTTCCTCCCCATTAAAATGAAAATACCATTTAGACAAGACTGATGTCCTTCTTAGCAGGTGCTCATTAGTTTATGACACATTATGGAAGGATCACAGGCTTTCAGAGGAATACAGACATAGTTCAAAGGGACCTTATGGAGCAGTTAGTACCATCACCTTATTTAACAGAGCAGGAAACTGAGGCCCAGGGTGCTAAAAGGACTTGCCTAACCTCCCATAACTAGGGAGTGGCAGAGCCAAGATTAGGACCCAGATATTCCAACTCCCAGCCCACTACCCATTGTCATTAGATCACAGACATAGACTGAAAAAGACCTCTCAGCCACCTAGCCCAACCCCCTAATTTTATAGATGAGGAAAATGAGGCCCGAGGTTAAGTGACTTGTCCAACATCACAAAGCTAGTATCAGCATCAGGATTGGAACCCATGTCCTTTGACTCCTTCCACTGTTTAGCCCTTTAGCCTTTCACTACCTGATGCTAATCCAAATTAAGTAGCTAGGTTTGTGGAGCTGCATTCACTCCTCTATGTTCATTACAGATCCATTAATACAGCGCCTAACACAAAGCAGGCACTTTGTCATAGCTGGTGAATTGAATTACTAAAATGCCTTGGTGACCTTTTCTAGTTGGTCACTAATGGAGGCTGTGACCGACTGGTTTAGGCTGGTGATCATTCTAAGACAACACACCGAGATCAACATTTTCAAGAAGATGATGGGTCCCTCTCTTCAGCATTTTGAAAAAGAATTGATGGTCCCCTCTGAAACAGCTTTTCCTAAGTTTTTTCCGTCCTCTCTTTGGAAGGGAAGGAGCTCCTAGGTAGATAGTTACAGACAAACAAGTTTCACTCACCTGAAGCTTTCATGGGGAAATATTGAAAAAGTGACCCCTTCATTTTTCTCTGACTCAACACTTTATATTCCTTCAACCCTTTCTTACATCTTCCAGATGCATTTACAGACTCTAGACTCACCATCTAATCCCATTCCACCCACTCCCTGGAGACTTTTCAAGTCAGTGAAACAGCCAGTATATCCTTCTGCAGTCTTGGTGAAGGCCAGACTCAATTCTCTACAGTGACATGCCAAAGATTCTCACGGGATAAGTCTGAGAGACATTGTCTTCTTTCCTTCTGGTGGCCACCTAGTGGACACCACACCCCTCCTGTGATTCACATGGTCTTGTGATGCTGTACATTAGAATCCTAAATCCCAAAGCTTTCAGACTATCTCTGTCACGTCCCAAGACATAACAATGACCTTTTCCTAAGTTCTCTGCAGGCAATAGCCTCTATTCAATTAGATTTAATACCCATATCTGAAACCTATTGTCTACAAAGAAATCTATGTTTCTTAAATCACTGCCCAGGACACAAAACAGCAACCAGGAAAAACATTAACAGTCAAACTTTCCTGGACCCACCATTTCCATGCATCAAAATCCTCTCTCCTTTTTAGCTATTTCTGAGGAGCTCTTTGACAAGGACATCATATTTTTTAAGACAAGTGCTTAGATTTCAGGAGTTGGGGGTTCTCTTGGCCATGTGACATTTCATAAACAACTGCAGACCCAGAAGTTACCATTGATTTTAAAAAAAAGTCAAGATGGAAGAGAATTGGTCAAATAGCAGAGCCTATCCTGTGAGCTCCGAATCTGGACAGCCGGTGCTGTAAGGATCCCCAGAGGATGGCCGGGCACTGATGGGTGATCATTCCCATCCAGGAGATCCCAGGTCTAGGGGCGTCCTGGAACCCTGGGAGCTTTATTATAGTTACCTGAAATGGCGAGCAGCATTTTCCTTCTGGCCCCAAAAGTTGTAATTCCCAGCTCCTTTAAGTCCTGATCCGTAAGGGTGAGGAATGTCTGAAGATCAATCTATGGATATAAAAACAAGGAGAAGGTCCATCAGCAACATGAGATTCATCTCATTAAAGACCGGCTCTAAAATGATTGCTCACTTCAGGGACCAGTGCTTCCCGCTTCCCTCTTCCAAATTACCTCACATTTGCTTTGCATGAATCTAAAGAGTATATGTTGTTTTCCCTGACAGAATATAAGCTCCTTGAGGGCAGACTACTTCATTTTGGTTCCTGAATCTTTAGCACCTAGCAGAGTGTCTGGCAATAGCAGACTGTCAATAATTGCTTCTTTTCAGCTAGGTGGCACCATAGTGCCAAGCCTGCAGTCAGGAAAACTTGTTCTGTAAGTTCAAATATGGCGTCACATACTTACTAGCTGTATGACCCTGGGCAAGTCACTTAACTGTTTGCCTCAGTTTCTCCATCTGTCAAATGAGGAGGAAATGGGAAACCCCTCTGATATCTCTGCCAAGGAAACCCCAAATGGGGTAATGAAGAGGTGAACTGAAACAACTGAAGAACTGATCTTTCCAGTTCTTTGCGACCACAAAAATTGTTGCCATAAATACTCTTATATAGGAACATATCTGATGTACCAGGTAGCTAAGTAGGTAGGAATTAGCGACTTCTTGGGCATAGTTCTAAAACTGTTTTTAAGATGGTTGAAGTAATTTATAACTCTACCAAGAGTGTGGGTGGCAGCTAGGTGGCATCATAGTGCATAGAGCACTGGATCTGGAGTCAGGAAGACTCATCTTTCCAAGTTGAAATCTTGCCTCAGACACTTACTAGCTGTGTGATCCCGGGCAAGTCATTTCCATTTGTCTCCATTTCCTCATCTACAAAATGAGATGGAAAAGGAAACGGCAAACCACTCCAGTATCTTTGCCAAGAAAAACTCAAGTGGGATCATGGAGAGTCAGACACAACTGGACAACAGCCAAGAATGCACTAGTGTACCCATCCTCTCCTATCTTCTTCATTTGCTTGACAGATAGCATCACCTATTAACCTTCAGTTCTAGTCATACTAACTTTGTACAAAAGAACTGCCCTATTGGATCATGCAGCTCAGTACTCCATCTCTAATATTAGCAACAAGGAATATCTTGAGAGAGGGCATTGCTAGGCTCATTAGTTTAAGGGTACACTTCAAGGACCCTTAAATTCCCTTAACTAATGGCTGAGTAAGACCTCTCACTTATGAATTTATCAAATATGTCTTAAGCCAATTTATATTAAATACTCTTAACTGGCATTGGCATTGCCAATGGATGACTCTTCTAGTTAATTAAAAATCTTAATTAATAAACAGGAACCACATATACCCTCCCTCCAAATAAAAATACTACTCAAATGCCTCATCTCAGTGGAAAGCTAACCTTGGGTTGCTAAAGGCAATAATGGCCAGATTCTGGCTCTGACAGGTCCTACACCAATGAGGAAATCATCAAGCATTCATTAAGTGCCTATGATGTGCCACGCAGTAAGTTAAAACAACCCAACTGGAAAGGCTTCCAATATGAGACTCTCAATAGGATGAGTATGTTTCCTAAGGCCAGCTTAGTTAAACATAAAAAGCTTGTTACCAGAAGGTTGGCCACTAGCTACTTAATTGTTTTGGGACTCACAGATCCATGAAACAGACACAAATACAAAATGATTAAGCAGCTATTCTGTCCAAAGCACGGTACTAGGCACCGGGGTCTCAAAGACACATGAACTGGGATCATAAGAACTAGAACTGAAAGAGAGCCCAGAAATCATCTGGTTCAACCTCCACATTTCATAAACATGGAAGGACATCCAGGATCACGGATTTCAGAGCTAGAAGGAGCCTTAGAGATCACACTGAGGTCAATTCTCTTCCCTTGATGCATGAGGAAATCTGAGGCTGGAATGGTTAAGTACTGTGCCCAGCATAACACAGCTGACAAGTGTCTGAGGCAGCATTCAAGCACAGACCTTCCTACCTCCTTGGAAAGTGGGCAAATGACAAAATGGAACATGGAATCTGCCAGTATCCTGACTGTGCCCTGTTCTCATTGGTAAGAATGATGGAAACTCCACAGTTGGACTCCATCACCTCATTAACCAAGCAAGCAGAATGAGAAAGGGGCACGTGAAATAAAGGAGAAAAGAAGAGAGGACAGGCGTGACCTGAGTACATACAGAAACAATCTGTGCTGGTGGTGGCACCATTTTTAAAGGCACTCAGGGGTTGATATTTAATACACTCCAGGAGAGGGGAGGTTTCTACAAGGATGGAAAGATCCTGGATGATGCTTTTACCACTCTCCTCAAAAATAGTGATGGAAGACAGGGCTAGCAACTAAGCCATGCTTGCTCTTCCCTGACTATATAACCGTATATAATATATATCTTCAAAATCTTCAATAATCAGAGAAAGGTAAAGTGACAATTACAATGAGATACCACCCAATACCCATCAAATCAACAAAAAGAGTTAAAAGCAATAAAATTCAACATTGGCCAGACTGTGAGAATCCACTGGTCAATCAATTAACAATTATTAAGCCCCTGTTTAATAATATGAAGCGCTGCATGAGGCACTGCAGGGATACAAAGACAACATGAAACAGTTCCTGCCCTCAAGGAGCTTGCATTTGATCTGAAAAGACAAACATGTGCATGCATATAGAGGCAGGTGTAGATGGTGCTGTCAGCAAAGCTCTTCACTGGTGTGACAAGGTACAAAATGGATTGTATCCTTTGACTTGTGATCTCACTACTAAGACTATATCCATGGGATTTAATTAAAGCAAGCAGCAAAAAGATCTGCCCAAAATTTTTCAGAGAACCTACCTGTTGTATAATAACAAAAATTAGAAACTATGTATATTTATATTTAATATATGTCACACACATAATAAATTGATGATTGTATATAATAAATTACCATGTTATATATAAATATATTTTAAAATATAATAATGTAAAAACTTTTTATATATCTTGTTATATATTAATATATAAAATATATAATAAGTTACCACATATAACATGGTATAATATGTATAATATGGCTAACATATATCAATATATAAAATATGTAATAAAATACAATATGTAAAAATATTTTATAACAATATACCATAAATATTTAACAATGAGAGGGGTGGCTAAAAACACATTGGGTATTAATTAGTGTGATGGGCTATTACTGCGTTGAAACAAAGAAATATGGGAAGAGAGCTCCAAAGTCGATACAGAGAGAACACAATTAGAACATGTATCTTGACAACCATAAATTGAGGGGGGAATTAAGCAGCATTGCAAATGAAAACAGAAGAAAAGGTAAGAGAGAAAATAAATCACTGTGTCATTATTTTTGTTAAAGTATATTTTTTTGGGGGGGAGGCCAGGCAATGGGGTTAAGTAACTTGCCCAGAATCACACAGCTAGTAAGTGTTGTCTGTCTGAGGCCAGATTTTAACTCAGGTCCTCCTAAATTCAGGGCTGGTGCTCTATCCACTGCACCACCTAGCTGCCCCTAAAGTATATTTTTAATTAAAGTACAACTTGTTTGTGGTTTGAGGTTTTTACTTGAGATATCAATTTGTATTCTTGTTTCTTCTGCGACACTGTTATTAAGCTTATATGACATATAACCCCAGATACAATAACCCATCCCACTGGAACTACGGACATTGTGACATTTTTAAGAAGGAATGGAATCTTGGGGGAGAAGTAGTTTCACTGTTCTGGGGACTGTCAATAGTCAATTGTCATGGCTGGAGAGAGACTGTGAGAGACAGAAGGGAAAGGACATGATTTTCTTCCTGAGAGACTGAATAACTTATGTGTCAAGGAGAAGATGTTTCTGAGAAAGTTTAATTCAGGATATTTTGTGCAGAAGATACAATGTAGAGAAGATTTCCTAAAGAAAATTACTGAGAGACATTGGCTACCATCCTGAGAGAACTGAATTGTTGGATTGAGGTATCAGCAGATGCAGTCATGGTTAGAGGAGACTCTAGATGGTATCTTTCTTCCAGCTGATACACTGTTGACGTATTTAACTATGCCTGTGTCTTGTTACATATTAATAAATTGTACAACCGGTTACATTGATGCTGCTAAAGCCAATGGGATGAAAGAGAGAGGAGTATTTTGCAAATTGGTTGGGGGCTCAGATCTAATTGATTAATGAGAAAGATTGTCCATTTCTATTATTTTATTAGGAAATATTAGGATACATACTTTGACTGACTTAGAACCTAGAATAAGAAACAAAAAATTAAATAACTGCTGTTAAAGAAAGATGAGCTGAGATTACAAAAAAAAATTATTGAAGTAAAATCTTTATGAGAATGGTTTATATATACTTTAAGGGTATCCTTGATGAAAACCTGAGAAGGAACTAGGAGGGCTTCTACAGTTTTCTGTAGCAAACGGTCTATATCTCTATGGTCACACAACTGACTGATTATGATCTATGTCAGCTGTTTATTTTTTTAAATTAACTGAGTAGGAAAAAAATTTAGCATCAAAAGCTTTCCTCAAACAAGCTATCAATATATGGATCTATGACAAATGTGACCATGCAAATAATTTGGTTCAACACTTGGCCAAATGCTGACAGTTTGAAAGTGGGAAATGTATTTTCACGTAAGGTGTGTGACAGTACCATGGAAAATATCCTGTGCAGAATCCCTACAAAAGAAGCAATCCCCACATGTTGATGGAAAGGTTTCACAACTGCTCCTTTTCATAGATAACATTGTATAGAACCCCAGAACACTTGCAAAGCTTCCCCAATAAAATTCATGGCACTGTAAAAGAGATAGGGCTAACCATCCACACTGGAAAAACAAAATAGAAATACATAAATATGTATATACATACACACACACACACACACACACACACACACATATACTGCATCATGCAACTAAATAAGTAGGCTGTCGAGTTGGTCCACCAAGACTCAAACTTCAGACAGACAACAGACGATGTGCTGGGCCCAGTACTGAGTAGAAGTTCAGGTTGGACTATATTTGGAAAAATTCCAGCTCCCCAGAAACATGAATTATTATTACCATAATGAACTGAAGCTTATTACTGCTCCAAAGCCTATCTCTTTGATGCCAACACTGACATCATCTCCTAATGATGCTATGTGAATATGAAGCTTAGAATGAGACAATATTAGAAGAATCCAAAGGACAATGGATGGGTGAATGATGGGCACATGCAAATGGAAATATACTACTAACAATGACTCCCCTGTGAGAAAGGGCATAAAGATACATCAGTGTGGATATACGTGATCAGTGGGTCATGTAGAGCAGAGGCATTAAGCACATGGTCCACATTGCTCCTAAGTGAAGCCTAAACAAGACTAAAATGGAGTTCTTACCTGATTTTATTTGTTGATGTATTAATTAAAAAAAGAACACATCAACATATTTGGTTTTCTAGGTCAATCTGCAGGCCACAAGGACCTTTAGACGTGGCTTGGTTGGTGGTCCCCGTTTCTATCTAAATCCAATACCACTGCCCTAGAATGTCTTCAGGTCATCAGTGATCGTTGCCCTGGAGGTGTGCAGGTCACAGAGCTGCCTTAATTGATCAAATGATGGAAAAATCACTTGTTCTGGGTTGTTGGACACTCCACCACCTCCAGAGTCGACAAGTACCTCTTGCCTAAGCACGGTCTACATGAAAGCTTTTTTCTGCTCTTCCCCAGACAGGGAATAAAGCTCAAGGGAAAAAAGAAAAAAAGCCAAAAGGATCACTCTGTACCATTTAAACTCTGACTCTGGCACCACAAGGGTCTTTATACATCATCATGGTTTCTTCACCTGAATTTCCTCTAAGAGAAATCCCTGCCTACTCAGCCTAAGGATTTCAGAATCCTAGAAGGACAGAACTGAATTTTACATCTAGAAGGAATCTCAGAAACCATCTATAAGGGCCAGTTTTACAGGGTGTTAATGAAAACATTGTCCATTTTTGAAAATCTTTGGTGAGCTGAACTCAAACAAAGATCTCCTGGGTGGGGGAATACACCAACGCCCCGAAATGTAACCTGTTCTCCATAAAACTTCCTTTCTCCAACATGAGAAGGAAAAAGCCTGAGAAATTAAATTCAATAATTTATTGAACTATGTAAACATGAGCTGAATTTGTGGCACAAAGCTGGGATATAAAAATCAAGGCTTTGTTATGGAGAAGTGCACAGCTGGGAATTGCTGACTCAGTCAGCTGTTCTCTTAGAAGCAAAATGACAAAATCAGGCATGTCCAAACTAAACTTTGACCCCATTGTTGAGCACAGAAGAGCAGAGGTCCCACAAACGTTCTGCCCACACCCTTCACTTGAATGGTTCTACCAGGGTCTGCTTCTACCCCTCAGCCTCTTCTGATGACCTCACCATAAAATGTCCATGGTCCATGAGGCTGATGGAATATGGAAGTCAGAATGAATCCAGTACCATTTGGTCCCAGAGGTTATAGAAACTACTTTAGACAGAGGAGCAAAGACATTGTTCCTATTGCAAGCACTTCAGGGGAATCCCTATTGCCTCTATGGTAAAATACAAACGGGGCCTCTGTAAAGGCCTTCAGAATTGACTCCAGACTACTTTTCCTGGCTTTTACACACACACACACACACACACACACACACACACACACACACACACACACACACACACATATGTATATATCATTAATCATTCCCCTTCATTCACTCTGTGTCTCAGCCAAACCATACTACGTGAGGTTCCCTATACATGACAATCAATCTCCTCCTGTTCCTGGACTCTCTTCCTCATCACCTCTGGAAGGGGCCTTCTTGTGTCTCCCAGGTATTCATACTCATCACCTGTTCTCTCCCAAGTTACTTTGAATGTATTTCATATGTATTTTGCAGTCCTTGATCTTTGTATGTGTTATTCCTCCCTAGCAGGATGTAAGCTCCATGAGGGCAGGACTGGTTTCCATTTGTATTTATGGTTGTTCTGAAGGTACTTTGTCCCACTAGGAAGGAAGCCAGTGGAGCAAAGGAAATGGTAGGAAGGATTTTAATGGAACTCTCCTGCCAGACATCTTTTATAATGTACTTGTAGTTGGGGTCTGGCCTACTGAGTAGAACGTCTATTAAAAAAAAAAAAGGAAACAGCGCAGGCATCAGCCAGGAAAGGTGATGGATCTGGGACTTCACCTTATCCCTCTAGATCAGAGGTTCTTAACCTGGGGTCCATGGACTTGGATGGGGAAAAAATTACATCTTTATTTTCCTTAACTTTTGTTTTTCTTCATAAGTCTATGTATTTTATGCAACTTAAACCATCCTGAGAAGGGGTCCACAGGAGTCACCAGTCTGACAAAGGGCTTCCACGGCACAAAAAAAGATCAAGAACCCCTGACTTAAGGGCTAATTTGAGAGCATCACTCAAGAGTCATTGATTAAATCTCTCCTATGTGGACCAGGTGCTGGGGGTGTACAAACAAAATTGAACTGCCCCTGTCCTCAAGGATCTTATACTCTATAGGAGGCGATGATACGTATTAAAATAAGCATAGACAAAATATTGTGATGTTTTACAGACACATGTATGAGCAAAAAAAGACTGACCTCCTGCTGCTGGAACACGTCGGTGTATTTACCCAGTCCAAGCTTGCTGAAGAGCTCAGGGAGGTCAGACCCCTTGAGGGAGCTGTTCAAGCTACAGCCATTGCTTCCAGTCAGCGAGGAAATACAGTCCATGTAATTGCTGCTGCTGAGATAGTGTTCGGCTAAGAGGCCAAAGAGAGACAGAGACAGACACACAGAAATACTTGAGATTAAATACCTGGACATTTAAAACATGCTTTAATTAAAAGTTTTAATCATCCCCATATTTCTGATCCCCATTGTTGGTCTGACAAGAGCATCAGACTGCAGGAATATAGAAAGCTGTGACCCCGGTGGGCTGGCTTTTCATTAGTGGCATGTGGATTATTGCTCTCAGAAAGCTCTTGCCATTTAAAAGTTTACACTTGGGAGCCAGTAATCCAGCCACAAAACATCTGCAGTTATAGCAATTAATCATATTCTCACCAGGCATTCAGAAACATTAATTCTTTAATTTAATTTTAATTTAAAGATGGGCTTGGGGGAAAAAAGTCTGAACTAAATTAAGTGAGGAGGTTGGGGCAGCCCTAGAGACACAAATTCCAGGTTCCTTTTGAGGGACAGAATGGCCCCCCCAATAACCCAACCTACCTTTCCCTGTGGTCTAGGAAATCTTACAGTATCAGAAGCTACTACTCTGGTCACAACACGCATCTGCATGGACAGACAGTTGCATCCTCCACAAAGATGCCAAAGAGATATTCCTTCAGGTCTAACCATGCCACTCTGTAGTTCAGGAAGCTCCAGGACACCCCCATTACTTTTAGGATAAAATGCAAGCTCCCCTCTTTGACTTCTAAAGACCCTGACAGCCTGGCTCCAGCCACCTTTCCAAGCTGGCTCATTACAGTACATTATTCTCCTTCTCAGACCCTATGTTCTGCTCAATGGGATCTACCCACTCTTCCCTACAACCGAAAGGTCAGTGGTAGGAATAATGGCTTTGGAATCATGGGTCCAAATCCTGCTTTGGATGTTTCATGCAATTATGCCCTTAGATTAGTGACTTACCTCCTCTGAACCTCAGTTTCCTCATCTCTAAAATAAGGAGCTTGGATGATATGACCTCTTGAGGTACTAGCTCTTGTCCTGTGATCCTATGAGCTCCCATCTCCAGGTCTTTGTACAAACGGTCTCTGACACCTGGAATGTACTCACTTCTCCCCTCTACCTCTTAGGATACCTAGCTCCCTTCAAGATCTAGCTCATGCCACTTTTTACTTGATATGCCCACTTTGTGGTCCCACCTCCCACTTGAAATTGTATCCACTTTACATACAGCTTGTGTTGACATATCTTTGAACACATTATTCCTCTGTCAAAGAATAAACTCTCTGAAAGTGATGGGGTGGGGCATAGGGGTAGGAACTGTTTCGTTTTTATGTTGGTATTTTTAATATCTGGCACAGGACCTGACCCATAGTAACTGCTTCTTAAGTCCTCGTTGAAGCAATCAGTACAATTCACCTTGGGCATGCCAGCAGACTCTGGGCCACCCCAGGCCTGAACAAATGCCTGTCTAGGCTCCACCAGGAGGTCTTAAGTGAAGAGGAACCCAGGCCTTCCCAGGGCCCAGGGGTCCACTCTTGGAAAGTCCTGATGTTAGCTACTCTTTCCCTGGCATTGAGCCCAAGTGAGCCTCTCTGAAGCTTCCTCCCATTGTTCCAAACTCTAACCTAAGACTCTGCTGTGCTGTTGTTTTAGAAAAGGCTAAGCAAAGTTAAGTCTAATCCCTCTTCCATCTGAGAAGCCTTTGAATGCTTGAGGAACACCTTCTAGTCTTTGTGAATCAAGCACCTGACCTGCAATAGAGACTGTTCCAGAGCCTTGGAGGGACAAGACACTAAGACAGGTAGGCTGGACTTTGCACCAAGCTCTGCCCTGGATTCTTAGGTACTAATGGGTCAGTCACTTAACTTGTGTCTACACCTTCTACTGAAGTTATCACTCCCACAAAAGATTAAAGCCTGAATGATGGACTAGTGGACTGTTCCAACATATCTAAGACCCCGCCTTGCTATTGTCTTAGGAAAGACAGAAGATCTCAGCCAGGCAATTTCCTCCCTCAGTACTGGCCACTGGCATACAAAATAGAGCCACGTGAAAGTCTATGAGAAGGCTCCTGTTAGTTCTTCTGCCAAGTCTTTGAAAAGTAGGTAGCAAACGAGTCTTAATCCTGCATGTTTATTATTTAATGTGCTCTGTAATTTACCTCCCCACTTAAGTTGTCTCAACTGTTCCTAATTCTGTATGCCTACATCTTGCTACTTACAGTTACCAAAACCGTATGGTACTTCTGAACCTCAAACATGAAAAGTAGAGATCCCCCCATATTCAATGGCATCAGTCATCATCACCATTATTGTTGTTGTTGCTGTTACACCTGGCATTTAGTATTGCTCTAATGTTTACAAAGTCCTTTAACATACGTCTCATCTCACCGAATCTCACAACCATCCTATTCATTTCAAAGAAGACAATATTTGTAAAGTACTTAGTACAGTCTCTGGCACATAGTGGCTGCTTAATAATGTCTAACATAATAATGCCTAATAATTCTTAATAATGTCGAATAATAGTGGCTGTTTAATAAATGCTGGCACCTGCCCCTGTACTAAAGGCATAATTACTGCATTTTAAAGATGAAGAAACTGAGGCTTAGGTGGCTTGCCCTGGTCACATGGCTAGTGTCAGAAGCAGGATTCAAACTGAAGTCTCCAAGGCACATAGGATCAAAGAGGCAAAGCTAGAAGAAAGCTCAGTTAGTCATCTGGTCCAATGCTCTCATTTTATAGCTGAGAAATCAGAGCCTCAGAGAGTCTGGCATCAGAGGGTGGACTTCAAGCCCGAGGCTATCCTGCCTCTGAGTCCAAGACTATTTCCCTCACCTGTTAAGGCAAATAAACGATTGTATTCATTGAATCATCTTCATATATTAAGAATCCTGGGGGCAGCTAGGTGACACAGTGGATAGAGCACCGGCCGTGGAGTCAGGAGGGCCTGAGTTCAAATTCGCCTCAGACACATAACACTCACTAGCTGTGTGACCCTGGGCAAGTCACTTAACCCCAACCGCCTCATAAAAAAAAAATCCTCTCATCCCCTTGAATTTGCATTCAAGTGTTGCTGAGCTTCCCTCAACCAGGCAATTACTAGCATGGTCGTCTTTCCATTTGTATGAGAAGGTCCTGGAGGTTGACTGGACTTCAGGTTCAATTTGAGTTAATGGGATGACAATGATAGCCCCAATAGGCTGCCCCAAGGCACCTAATATCTGCTTGCTGACTGAACAGCTGAACATCCCACCGCACTCTGCCCTGGCCAGGCCCTATCGGAGGACTGTGTTTAGTTCTGGGTTCCCTATTTTAAGAAGGGCTTTCAAAAGTTGGCAAGCACCTGGGTGGGGGTGACCAGGATGGTGAAGGACCTTGATTTAATGCCACTTGGGGAGAAGTGAAAGGAACGGAGAATTTTTAGCCTAGAGAAGGGAAGACATAGAAGGGGCAGGATAGGGGCCTTCAAATATCTGAAAGTCTATCAGCTGAAAGAGCAGTCATGCTCACTTTGTTTCCCCTCAGAACAAGATTAGGAACAATGGACAGAAACTGGATGGAGTGGCAGATTTCTTTTGAGAGCAAGGACAAAAACAATCCACCAAGAGCCAAACACGTGGGAGTGGACTGGGATGGCTCCCTAAGGGTTTCCACCAAAAGCTCAATGGCCTCTTGTTAAAGATAGTGTTGCAAGGACTCCTGTTGAGGCTTGGGCTAGAAGCGATGGCACTGGAAGTCGCTTGTAGCAGTGGGATGATGGGATTCTCAGAGTTGATGCTAACTGTAGGTGGAAGAACCGGAGTGGGCTCAGGAAGACCGAGGGTCAGGTCTTTGAATACTGTCAGAGCCCCATCCTCAGACACACAAACACTTGTCAGTCTCAGGCCTGGCACCAAACCTCTCCCAACTCTCTCCAACCGCTAAGGTCCCAAGGGTCAGGGGAGGGAGCTGACAAGAGCAAGAAGAGAATCAGAAGGCAAGAACTGGAAGGGTGAACCATTTCCCCCTCTGGGCCTCTCTTCCCGCATCTGTAAAAAGAGTGGGTTAGAGGAGATGCTCTGCATCCTGTCCTACATTGCTACCAATAATGTGCTTGGAAAGAGGAGAACAATCCTGGATCTTCTGGTACTTTTTCAAACAGGAAGAGTTAGCAGTGTCAAATTCATACAAAATACCCTGGCTTGTCAAATTCTTGGCTAGCTGGCAAGATGATACATCCTAATCAGTAGCCAGCATGACTTTGCAGGCACCTCACCAGGGGCCTTCCAGGATTCAACAAAGCCAGAGAAGACAGCCGGGCCATCAGCAGCACCTGCATTTCAGAATACTGGAGCCAGGTAGGGGCCACAGACTTTGACAGGGAGGGTTAATGAGGAACAGAGCAGAGAGGGCTCTCTGTTCCCCCCAGACATGGATCGGTTCTTCCCTGTTGAAGCTTAGAGTCCTCACCAGAGATCAGTGCTCCAGAGCTCAGAGCCTACTGTAGCTACCCCTGCATCATCTAATTAGACAGGCATCACTGTCCTGGGAGCTCTCCTAGGACTCTGGAGGAGGCAGCATCTGGCCACTAATTGATTTAATAACAATTCCTATTTCTATGTTACTTTAAGTTTGCCGGGCAGTTCCTCACCATAATCCAACAAGATGTAGGAATCCCAAGTGTCATCATCATCGCCATCTTATTAGTGAGGAAACAAGCCTCACAGAGGCTGCAACTGACCCAAAGTCACCCAAGGAGTGAAGGGTCAGAATGAACACTGGAATCCAGGGCTCAGTTCCAAGGCCAGCACTCTTTCCACTAATCACTGGTCCTTAATGAGAGGTCCAGGGCCCTCCTGAGGGGATTTGGGGTCTGTGGATAGATTTCAGGAAATCTGTGAAGTTGGATGGGGAAGAAAAATCACATTTATATTTTCGGTTGCCTCTAAATAAGCATTTCTTTCGATGATTCTGAGGAAGGGTCCACGGGCTTCAGCAGACTGACTGCCTGCCCAAGGAGGCCACAACGCACAAAAGGTGAAGCACTGCTGGGCTAGATCATGCTCCCTATTATTAATGTTAACAACATACAATCACTTTACAAAGCACGTATGTGTTATCTCATTGTTATGATGACTGCTCGTGGCCTCCATGAGCAGTCCATGTCTAGGTGGGCTAATGGCATTTTAGCTCAATGTTTAATGGTACCACTCAAACTGCATTCTTAGAAGGGATGGGAAGAGGAAGTCATGACTTCTCAAACAGTCAAAATGTTTTCCCACTGGCTAATTTAAATCCCTTTTGCTTTCCCTCTTGTCCAGTCTTTGACAGAAAAAGAGAGACAGAGACAGACAGAGACAGAGACAGAGAGACAGAGACAGAGACAGACAGAGACAGAGACAGAGAGACAGAGACAGAGAGAGACAGAGACAGAGACAGAGACAGAGACAGAGAGAGCCTAAACCAGTCATACAATGCTTTTTCAAGGCTTTGAGATTTGTGTTTTCTTCACAATAAATCTCAGTTTCCACTTACTGGTCTTTGAACGGACCCTAATTTTCAAATTATTTTGTTCATTTTGTTTTAAAAAATCCTAAAACATACAGAAGCCCAATGTCACATTGTTTAGCCTGGACAATGACAGTCACAGAAATGTAATGTGTATCCTTTACTGGAGCGAGATGTCTCAACCTCGCACTCATATCTCTCTACCAACCATCAACCCAGCATCAACCCAACTTTCCCTTGAGAAGCAGTGACAAGTCAAGAGGATTTTTAAAGCCCTTACTATGTGCTAGGCACTCTGCTAAGGGATGGGAATGCAAACAAAAGGAGAAAGAAAGGCAGTCCCCACCCTTTGCATTCCAATGACACAATGGATATAGTGCTGGACCCGGAGTGAGGAAGATCCAAGTTCCAATTCTGCTTCAGACACTTAACTATCTATGTGACTCTGGGCAAGTGACTTTACCACTGTCTGTCTCAGTTTCCTCAAGTATAAAATCCTACCTTGCAGGATTGTTATGAGGATCAAATAGGATAATGTGTAAAGTGTTTTACAAACCCTAAAATGCTATAGAAAAGCTGGTTATTATTATTATTTGCTCAATTTCAGGAGGCAGCCTGGGACAATGCGAAGCATGCTGATTTAGCATCAGAGAAGCCAGGCTTATCCAACTTCTGTTACACCTGTGTGGGAAGGCAGTCACTCTCAGGGTCTGGACGGGCGCAGTTCTGTGGTCCCTGGTACCTCCAGACCTATAATGGGACGCCTGGACAATCCCCCCTCCTCCTGCTGAGCCAGGCTCTGTGCCATCCCGCATGTTCTGAGTTCACCTTTGGCTCTTTGCTTCTTTTCTCCCTGTTCCCTCACAACCACTTCTGTTGATCGATGGCCTACAAGTGCTTTAAGGGCTGGCTACCAGACACATCTCCTCTACACAAAGCCAAAATGACTGACCCTTCCCCAAATGGCCAGTTCTTACTGGCAACATTATGTTCCATTCAACGCCATATCTCATTCAGCTCTTCCCTAATCAATGAATGCCAACTTAGCTTCCAAGTCTCTGCTGTCATGAAGGGCATGACTCTGACTGTTTGGGCAAACTCGCGGCCTTTGTTTGTGTTTGTCTCTTTGCTTGTCCTTTCTCTGGACAGCCCCTTCACTGACACTGGAGAATGCAGGAAGGGCTTGGCAGAGGAAGTGTGAGCCGTAATCATTGGCCAGAAAGCCAGCGTCCCTGGACAGCAGAGGCACTGGAGGGGGGGCAGGTGTAAGAAGACTGGAAAAGAAGGAAGAAGTAAGGCTGCAAAGCACTTCCAAAGCCAAAGAGAGGACGTTACATTTAATCCTGCAGGTGACAGGGCAACACTGGAGCTTTGTGAGTATGGGAGTGAGATGGCCCAACCTGAGCTTTAGCGAAATCATGCTGGCAGCTGAGGCTTGGACTGGAGTGGGGGAAGCCTGCAGGCAGTAAGGCCCACCAGCAGCTCTGTGGTAGTCCGGGCATGAGGGGAGGAGGGCCTGTACAAGAGTCCTCGCTGTGAGAGGGGAGGGCCCCCAGAGGTGAGCAGAAGGATTAAGAAAATCAGCTTCAGAAAGGAGAGAACCCAGAATACTTGGCTTGGTAAAGGTCAAAAAGAGGTCCAAGCAAACAAAGTTTTAGCAGCAGCCTGACTGGTTATCCTCAGTCCTCGAAGGCCAAGACCTTGTTCAGCCCTGGGAGAGTGATGGAAGAAAGAACCAGCAGCAAGAACTGGGGCTCCAAAAAGAAAAGATTTGGTGTAAATGAATGAGTGAAAAATCATTTAACTGTCTACAGTGTGCCAAGAACTGTGCTAAGCACTGAGGAAACAGTTTAAAAACAAATCGACAGTCCCTGTTTTCAAGGAGCTCACACTTTAATTGGGGGAGATGATACATAAAAGAAAATGCAGCCACAAGGCAGAAGCGAAGGCCAGAAGGCCTTAGAAAAGAAGCAAGGAAGTATATTTGGAGCAAGACCCCATAGAAAAATCGACAGTGAATGATACAGAGAGACAGAAGCTGAGAGCAGAGAAGAGATAAGAACTTATTCAAAGGAAAGCATCTCAGAGGAAAGCCAGGTTCTCAGTGGACAAATACTTCACAATAACAGCAACTTAGTTGAACTCTAATGAGGAAAGTGAAGATATTCCAATAATTTCTACAAGGCCCCTCAAACAAGAATGGAGCAACTCCAAGAATGTCCAAATTATTCAGAAAAGCAATCAGAAGTAAAATAAAAATACAAAGTAAATAAAGACAGCGACGAGAGCACTTTGAGGAAGAAAACAACTCTAACAAGCAATGAGGAAATACAGAACAAAAGACAGAGACCCATCATAACAGCAGATTCTCTGAAAACAGAAGCAACAGAATTAGAATGGATGGGTGGGGAGGTAGAAAAACAATTAATAGAACAAGTTTTTCAAGTCTGGAAAAACATGAGAGCTCTGTAAAACTAGAAATACTAAATCTGAAGATGGAAGCAAAGACACAGTCTAAGGATCATAGGTCTTCCAGAAAGACAACCTGAAGAAGACAACCTGAAACGCGAGGAAGTCTCTTCTCCCCAAGCCACAGACTGAAGGTGAAAGCCACAATTAAGCTGAAACTCACTTGATTTGTTTTGCTTGCGTTTCGGGCTCCCCAGAGAAGGCGCAAATTCATTGTGAGCAGTAGGACCAATTCCGTTCCGGTCTCTCCAGTTCTCAGATTCACTTCCACTTCCCAGGTGTTCACGACTGTTAGACCGTGAGAGAGACATTGACGACCCCTGCCATTGAAAGAAGAGTCCAAAGAAAGACAATGATGAGTAACTTAATTTGTGGGTTGGGGGAGAAGTGGGTAGGGAGGAGGAGAATAATTACAGTCTGCAGAAGAGCACTTAATTTAGTTTTATTATGGAATTAACTTTCTGAAAGGGGCCTTGAAAATCTAGTTCTGCACTAATGCATGGATAGTGAGGTTGTGAACTGATCCAACCATTCTAGAGAACGACTGGGAACTATACCCAAAGAGCTAAAAACTGTGCATGCCCTTTGACCCAGCAATACCACTACTAAGTCTATAACCCAAAGAGATCAAAGAAAAAGGAAAAGGAAAGATATGTACAAAAATATTTGTAACAGCTCTTTTGTGGTAGTAAAGAATTGGAAATCGAGAGGATGCCCACCAACTGGGGAATGGCTGAACAAGTTGTGGTATATGAATGAAATGGAGTATTATTGTGCTGTAAGAACTGAGTTACATGAACTGATGCAAAGTGAAGTGAGCAGAACTAGCAGAATATTGTACACAGTCACATCAATACTGTATGACGATCAACTGCGAATGACTTAGCTATTTTCAGCAATACAATGATGATTCCAGAATATTTCTGATGAAAAATGCTTTCTACCTCCATAGAAAGAACTGATGGAGTCTAAATGCAGATCAAAGCATACCTTTTTTTCACTTTCTTTGTTTTTCTTGTTTTGTGGGGATTTTTTTTGGTCTATGCTTTCTTTCACTACATGACTAATATAGAAATATGTTTGACATGACTGTACATGTATAACCTATATCAAACCATTTGCCATCTTCGGGGGCAGGGAAAGGATGGCGGAAGAGAGAGAATTTCGAACTCAAAAAATTTTAAAGCAAATGTTAAAAGTTGATTTTACATGTAATTGAAAAAAAATGTTTAAAAAAGTGCCACCAAAAAAAGTCTAGTCCTACCTCCTTATTTTACAGATGATGAAACTGAGGCTGAGAGGAGAAGTAATTTGCCCAAGGTTACACAGCCAATAAGTGGCAGAGATGGGATTTGAACCCAGGTCTTCAAACTTCAAATCCAATGTTCCTTCACTCTATAGCTTCCCACTTGACTACATTACCTCTGACAATCTCTAGAGACTGGAGCTCTACTCTGGTGTACTGATATCATGGAAGGAGAGTCAGACTTAGATATGTATCACATGAATGACAGTTATTAGCATCGCATGATTTCCCTGGTGCATGGATGTTCCCTCTCCAACCTCAAGGCTCAGAAAGTGGTCTTCCAGAGCACCATGAGGTTCTGCCTTGCTCCTGTCATAGAGCTAGCATGTATCAAAGGAGGGAACTAGGCCCAAGTTTTCCTGGTTTCCAATCTGGTATCTAGTCACTCCACATGGTCTCTCTAAAAACAGAAGAGAGCAATATAATATAGATTTTTTTAAAGGGGTAGAAAAAAGAAACTGAACGCTTTGATAACATCTCATTCAATTGTGGAGGATTCCCACAGCTCCCCACCCCACCCCTCCAAGGAAAAACCAATGAAGACATCCCAGGGGAATGAAATGTGCCATTGTTTCAGGAAAACTAGCTTGGCAACGGCAGGTAAGAGAGACCTAAGAAATGAGTAAATTACAGCAGAAAATTTAGTTTGGAGACTATTTCCATTTAAGGAGGGATTGGAGTATAGCAGAAAAAGCCCAAGATTTGGGATCAGAAGACCTGAGTTCAAATTCCTACTCTGCCAACTTACTACCTAGGTCACCCTGGGAAAATGACATCACCTCTCTGGCCCTCAGTTTCTTCATCTGTAAAATGAAGGGGTTGGGCTGGATAGCACTGAAGGCCCTCCCAACGCTAGTTCTATGATCCTCTGTCCCTAGTCTGCGATAACAAGGGCCTAGACCAGGCGAGACGTCAATGGAAACAAAGGGACTGATACAAGGAAGGGACTGACAGAAGAAGATATTGATAAGACTTGGTGCCTGACTTGTTTTAGCCTAGAAAAAATAATGGAGTCATGGACCCAAATTGGGAAACCCAGAGAGGAAACAAAGAGGAAAAAGAAGATGATGGGCCATACAATGATGTCTAGCAGACCATCAGGTGTTGAACTATCAGAAAAGACATCAGGGTTTCCAATGTAGATTGAAGAGATGTTCACCTAGAGTTGAATGTAAAGCCATAAGGACAAATTAGATTGCCCAGCTGAAGAGCACTAAAGATTGAACCTTGGTGTCCATGACTGGTTAATGTAGAGAGAGCAAAGTATAGTAGATAGAGCACTGGATGTCGTCTCAGAAAGATTTGGGTTCAAATCCTTCCTTGGACACTTCCTGGTGTTGTGATCCTAGACAAGTCATTTAACTTCTCATCTGTAAAATGGGGATAATAATAGCTCCTAGAAGAGTCTTCCTAGGAAGCTATGAAAATTCCAGAGCAGGGAGAGACAGGTCTGGCCCCCTCCCCTGCCACACAGTCTGCATTACCCTCAGCCAAGCTGCCTGGCTTCTCTACCCTGTGCAGGCCATGGCGGCTCTTTGGGCCAAGAGACTCTGGGTCTCTGAGCTTCTCTTTTTCCCCTTCAGTGATCACTGAAAAGCCAGACGTGAGAGGCTGTTTAAAGCTAGCTGTTCCAGGACAGCTGTGGCAGGGTCTGCAGCAAGGAGACTGCCTCCTCCCAAAGGGCTGACATTAGCAATGCTCAGGCTTCCTCCTTTTCATCGTGGCTGTGCTATGAAGCCTGGGGGCTGCTGCACATTGGGCTGAGCGTTTGTGAGCTTGGGGGCTCTTGGGTTTGATGAATTTCTTGCTCTCTGACCACCTATCTCTACAAATTGGAAAGATTGGTCATGCTAACAGTGGAACAAACTAGGGCTGGCGTTATCTTTGATGGTGCTCTATGTGGCATAGAGAGCCAGGGTGGGGTTCGGGGGTTAGATTTTTTTTTCTTTTATAACAAAATTCAACTCCACCACTATGTAATCATGGACAAATCACTTCTCTGGGCCTCAGTTTCTTCATCTGTCAAGACTAGATTTTTAAGGACCCTCCCAAGAAGTTAATAAAACTAATTTAAGTGTTTATTTCAGAGTTACAAAATTTTGAAAGTAACTCAAATTATATTCCTCTAAGTCCCTTGCACCACTGATGTAATGTAACCCTGAGAACAAAATGCACCAGAGCTCTCTTTCCAGGCCCTTACAAATAGCTTCCTTGTCCTTGCACTGGAAGTTTTGAGGATTCAAAAGGAGCACTGAAAAAGAGCATGCTTCCTGGAACTTTACAGGAGCAAACTGGTCCAGTAGAGAGGAAGAGAAGGCCACCTTCGAATCATTACACAACTGTCTTCCAAACAAGGAGTCCAGTAAACATTCCACTTTGACTGATCGCTGATCTTTTTCTCTCTAAAATATGGGTTTGGACAACTTCCTCATGTTTTCTCATAGGAGCCAACAGCCAAAAGCTGGCTATCTCCAAACTGGCAGGTCCTTGCTTGTCAGTCCTGTGTAGCCTAATAGGGCACGGACCAATGACCCTGGCTCCTACCGCTGTGCGTCAGGAAGCCAGGCTCTCCACTTCAACATATGCAGCAGGGCCAACATCTGGGACCCATGAAACACTGCAGAGCTCTTCTTCGAGATATTTCCTGCTTGGCTTTGGCAGGTCCAGATGCCCAGGACTGTTTGCTACTTGCCATTCGAAAAGTGGGTCTTCCTTTTCTATTTGCATCATTTACTTCTGAGGTGGTTCTGTCAGAAGACAGACCCTCAGAATGATGATCTTGTCTAAGCATCGTAGAGGATGGCACAGCCATCCTTTGTCTACCCTCAGCCCCGTGGTTTGATTTACTGTGTGTGAGTGTGTACACACACACACACACACACACACACACACATACACACACACCCCCCAACAGCAAACGGTCCCTAGCTCTGAAAGTCGGGGATAGGTCACTAAAACTATTTCCATTTTATGACAATCTAGTTACAGAGAACAGCCTCAGAGCCAGTCCTCTCCCTTGCCCACCCCTTACCAGTACGTGGTAGATTCAAAAAGGTGTGTGGCACTGAGCGGAAGTCCAAGGCCTCCACACGCCGTCCACAGAGCCGCTAGAGGGGAAGCACCCAGGGTGTGTTTACCTCATAGGTGGTCCTCATCGTGGGCTTGTAGGAGACGTGGTTGGCCCTCCTGAGCTCCTTGATGGTTTCAGCCGGCATGGACTTGGAGAACCCCAGGCCGCTCCACGTGTTGGTTGGTGTCCTCACTTCTGTCACCACCGGCTTTTTCAGCATTGCTTTGGGGGAGGAAGAGAGGGACAGACACACACATGGAGCAGTCAACCCTGGTGTGTTATCTTCTCAAACAAGATTACATACAACTGAGGATGTGATCTTTAACAACAACAATATTAACTAGTAATTATAGAGCACTTGAAAGCCCGCAAAGCACTTTACAAACATTATCTCATTTGATCCTCATAATAACAATGGAAAGTAGGTGCTATTATTGTCCCTATTTTACAGCTGAGGAAAATAAGGCAAACAGGGTTAAATGACTTTCCCAGGGTAATATAGCTCAATTAAGTGTCTGAGGCCGCATTTGAACTCAGGTGTTCCTAACTCATTTGAACTCAGGTGTTCCTAACTCCAGGACCAGAGCCACCCAACTGCCTTTAAGCATCACAAACCATCACAGAATAGGCAAAGGTCACATAGGTCCCAAGCCAAAGAGCCAGGATTCAAATTCAGGACCTATGACTTTAAAAATCAATACCCTTGCCACCGCATCAAAAAGCCTTGTCAATTTAACTTAATCCTTCATCAGGCCAACACAGACTTCTTACAACGTGGGTCGATTTTTCTTGTTTGTTTTGTTTTTTTCTTCTTTTCTTTTTTTTGAAGCACAGATAAAACCTTTTTCATTAAGAGCAAAGCAAGTCAAACACAGGCAGTGGAAAATATGTTTATGGGTCCACTGAGAAATGGAGGCATTTTGGAGGAGGCTCATGGACTACATACCTTTGGTTGCTAGCAGCTTCTTCTGTTCATAGTCAAATGCCTAAAAAATGAAACAAACAGAAAATCCTTTACTTCTCCTTTCACCATGGGTCACACCAACACTCACATTCTAAAAACAAAGGCTTTAACTGCAGCTCATGAATTCCCAAGGGACAAGTGTTTAATCTCAGTTTAATAATATACTAGCAAGGGGCAGTTAGGTGGCGCAGTGGATACAGCACCAGCCCTGGATTCAGGAGAACCTAAGTTCAAATCCAGCCTCAGACACATAACACTTACTAGTTGTGTGGCCCTGGGCAAGTCACTTAACCCCATTGCCTAGACCAAAAAATAATAATACTAATATACTAGCAATCCATGAAAAGTCTGATGCACCTAAATGGTAAACCAATCAATCAACAAGCAGCTACTAAGTGCCTACTACGTACCAACCACTGTACTAGGAGCTAGAGAGAAAAACAAAACAACCCTCCTCCCCTAAGAGCTTATATTCTATTGGATCATTTAAATATCTCATTAGAGCAATAAATAACTATCTGACTTTCCAAATAGGTAGCAGTGAGTCAAATTGTCTCCTTTAATTAAAAAAAAAACTATTTGTGATTAATATTTAACACACTAAGGAAAGCATACTTCAAATATCAGTGACTCAAACCAATAGTATGCAAAAATCTGGTCTGGGTTACCACATTCCTGAAATACTGAGATTCTACCCCAAATTCCTACACTACTCTTTCCCAGAAACCAGTTGTTAAAAAAAAAAAAACCTCTCACTTATGATAAGCACAACTTATCATGCCTATGGCTTTGATGCCAAGGATTTGAAGAATCCTTTCCAAAAAAAGAGAACTTGATGCCAAGATACCAGTGGACTGTTTTTAAAAATAAGTTTGATTTCTGTGAATTATATCTCATTCTGTATTTGTTCCTGGAAAATTCTCTCTTCCTCTCCCCCATCATCTAAGTTGAACCCTCTCTTGTAACCAAAAAAAAAAACCCAGTTAGACTAAATCCTCCCAATTACCGCAACTGTGTCTGAGAAATTATATAATATTTTGTCTTCTCAGCCTTCACCCCCACACCCACACCCTTTGCTGATGGGAGAGAGATTTGATTCATTATCTGTTCTCTAAGACCATTATTGGTTTTTCAATTGCTCCAAGTGACATTATTAAATCAAACTGCAATATCGCTTGACTTCAACTTGCAATGACATTGGATGATATTTAACAGTCAGGCCTCGAGTTCTACCTGCTGGCCAGCACTCACAGAGTACCTTCAAACCAGGTGCTTGGTAAATATTGACTAAAGGAATATTTGAATCCCAGAAGCATATTGTAGGGAAAAGAGGACCTGGGGTGGGAGCCTAGAGCTGCCTTGCTGGGACTCAGTTTCTCCTCTATAGAAGGAGGATCTTGGACTCAATAACCTCGAATATCTCTACAAGCTCTGTTATAATCCCATGCTCTATTAACTCTACTGAAACACAAAATGTTAGAAATCAAAGGGACTTTAGAGAGAGCAGCAATATCACAACGGATGGACCAGACACAGAACTTTTAAGGTTAACTGAATGCTTCACACAGGCATTATCCTATCTGATCACCTGCTCCAACCTCCTCACTCTGAAGATAAAGAAACAGAGACTCATTACTCACAATCACTCTGGACACAAATGGGTCTCCTAACCCACCCTTGGAGGCTCTGTAGCCCCAATGATTTCAGTCAAAGATCACTAATCAGTGACTGTCCAGAGTGCTCAATTCCAGAAGATGACTGTCCCTGACAGTGCTGGCTTGGAAAGTCAGTCCAGCTAAACTACTCATGAAGAGCACGAGTCCACCGCACTGACGTTCGCTTACAAAAACCTCTAAAATGAGGTTTGAGGATCATAGCTTCTCTCCGTCACAGATGTTGGCAAGGATGAGGGAAGAAGAATGGTATTTATGTGCTGAACAGCAACATGGTGAACAAAACAGAGGACCAGACCCACTTTCTGATCTTCACAAACCCTTAAAACTCACCTACATAAAAATCTGAGCCACAGGTAAATGCAACTGTCTCCGAAGGTCAAGTCACCAAGAAGTACAAGGAGGTAACAGTCTGATGAAAAAACAGTACAGAGGGCTAGCTCCTCATCTCTAACACATACACTCTGTACCCCCTTTGCAACCAGCCTCCACTCTCTGGCAGGACAGCACAAGGGGACTCGTAACCATAGTCTCTGCTGGCACATCCTGTCCCTGACCTTACTCTACCTTTCTGTGACAACAAATAGCAGGATTCAACTCGACCCACTTCTCTCCCCACTCATGCAGAGAAGGTAAGGCGCAGGAAAGTGAACATACTTGGCCTGGGATGGCAGCATGCTATACTGCAGCGGCTCTTAGCCAGAGAATTAAAGAACAGAGGTAACTGGGGGAAACTACCACTATATGGGGGTGGGGGGCACTACCTAAGGAGCGAAGAAAAAGAGTCTGCCATCCAGTGTGGGCCAGTGCTGTCCCCTCAGAAGTCAGTTGGGGCAGAGACTGAGGCTGGTTAAAAATTAATTCCTCAGCAAAGGAAAAGGCTGAGATAACTCTTATGTCAAATGCCAGGGAATCTGACATCAAAGAGGAAGGAGTCATAAAGTGAACAATAAAGGAATATAGGAAAAGAGATTTAAATTACCAAAAATCTGAAGAGAGGGAAAAATCAGTCAAAAATTTTTAGTACTGGCACATAAATCAATAAGGAAATATATTAAAACAGAAGGAAAGATAACCTCTGGGACATCTAAATGAGTCTAAACACTTCTGAATAAATATTGCCAAGCAAAAGAAACTGAATCAGCATTTGAGAGGCAGAGGATCCTGTGGATTCCTAAGAGAAAATGGTACCACAGCAATTCCCAAGAGTTCAAGAGAGAAATAAGAAATAAAAAATGGTGATGATCTGCACAGTAGAAATAATTGGCAGAACAGAAAAACTTGAATCCACAATGGCAAACCTTACCAAGAAACAAAAGAAGAAGCAAATACAAATATAAAGAAGTGAAAAATAATCTAGATGAGGAATAGCAAAAAAGCAATTATATTAAAAGAACACATGATACCTAAACAAGAAAAACATTGTGCTCTTGAAGACAGGATACAGATAAAACTTAAGGTTCATAGGTCTCTTAGAACACAAGTCGAAAGACCCTGAACACCATAATGCAAGAAGTAATACAGTAAAACTGCTCAGAATTTCTAAAAACATAAAACAAAATGCTAATCAAAAGATTCTATGGATTGCCTCCAAAAAACAAACGAAAATTCTATGCTACAAATTCTAAGAGAGCAATGGTTAAATTCAGTAATTTCCAATGACAAACAATAAATTCTGCAAACTACCACAAAAAACCTTTTAAATATAAAGGAAAAGAAATGCGAATAACTCAAGACTACTCTGCACCCACTAGGAACTACATAAGGGAATGGAATGACGTGTTCTGAAGAGGAAAGGAGTTCAAGATGCAGCCCAAGATGGGAGCCTAATCATCAGTTTGAAAAATAGACATTCAATAAAAGAGAATCATTTTAAGAATGTCCATGGACTTGTTGTGAGGAACAAATGAGATAACATTTGTGAAGTTTTTAGCAAATCTTAAAGCACTATACATATGTCAGCAATGATAACAATGGTATAAAAGTTCACAAATAACCCCTAAAATTTCATTTTCAGCAATCTTCTACCTCCTCTAATTTTAACCAAGTTAACAATAATGAAAGGTGGCATTTCACGGTGAGTAGAAATCTGGCCTCAAAATTCATGGTTCAGATACTGGCTGTGCGAGCTGGGCAACTCTCACTCACAATGTCCCAGGTAACCCTCTAAGACTATAAATTTCAAAGCCAGTCTTCATTGGTTGAGGGAGTTTTCTAATCAGGAGTTTCTTATGCCAAGTAAATCGTTAAGTCTTGTCCAAATAGCACTAATTATAGCCCGACATTCATATGGCACTTGAAGCAGAGTGCTCAAACTATATTATTTCATGTGATGCAGCTAGGTGGTACAGTGGATATAGAGCATCTGCCTCCCAGGATTATTGTGAGAATCAACTGAGATATTCATTTGTTTGTTTTGTTTGTTTTGTTTCTTTAGGCAATTAAGGTTAAGTGACTTGCCCAGGGTCACCCAGCTAGTAAGTGTCAAATGTCTGAAGCCAGATTTGAACTCAGGTCCTCCTAACTTCAGGGCCGGTGCTCTATCCACTGCTCCACCTAGCTGCCCCCAACTGAGATATTTGTAAAGTGCTCAGCACAGTGCCTGGGACATAGTAAACACCAAAAAGAAGGCAAATTCCCTTCCCTTCCCCACCATTATGTGATCCTCAAGACTACCTTGCGAGGTATGCACAACAGGTATTAACATCCCCATGTTACATATTATTGGATAACAGAGCTAGAGGTCACCTAGTCTATCCCTGTCATTTTATAAATGAAAGAAGATTCAGAAACTAGGCTCAGAGAGCCTGCATGTATAGTGACCTCCATATCTTCACAGGACTAATAGGCATCAGATGTAGGAATGAAGCCCAGGGGTCTCCTGACTCTGAGACCAGCCCTCTGAATAGCATACCAAGCTGATAAAATGTTCCACTTGGCATTCCTCCATATTTCCCTTTTCCTACCCAGTCCCTGACAAATATGGTGCACACAAGATGATGTAAGGAGTAGTGAGGGGTCCAGATGTCCACGACTGGATAATTAACTCCAATTTTTTCCCCTAGACCTTTGGCTTCAATAGTATAGGGAACTACCAGTAAGAAAACTCCCTCTATCAATGCATGTTGGCACCTTCTTTGCAATAGAAAGTTATCTGGGGAATTGAAAGGAAGTGACTTGCTCAGGTCACAGAGCCAGGATGTGTGTGAGGCAGGGCTTGAACCTGGGTCTTCCTGACTCCCAGCCTCTCTCTCTCTGCCATGACACACTGCTGCTGCTCCCATCTCCCAAGTATCTGACAACTGACTCCCTAGGAAGATGGCATCCACTGATGCTTGATTTCTTGGCCCCCACTATCACTGATGACTGCAGAGAGCTTTCTTCTTTGTGACTGCAAGGGATAGAGATGATTATTGGACTGATGACATAAATGTACCTCTCACATATGAAAATCCTGCAGCAGAAAATGGTCAGCTGGGCCAAAGGAAACATTTGAAATCTTTATTGCTACACATTGCTGAATTATCTTTTGTCAAAAAGAGAACCAAGAAAAGACAGAAGGCAATGAAGATTCACCATAGTCTGAGAAACAAAAACTAATAAATATGGCAAAGAGGTTCGCTTGGATCATAAGGTTGACACTGAAGCTATAAAGGATTTATCTATGCACACACACACACACACACACACACACACACACACACACACACAGCCCAGCTTCACCTTTTCTGACATTTACAAATTGTAATTTGTCTTTTCCAACAACCAAAAGCAAAGCACGCAACAAAAGCCATGAGTAGTCATTTATCCATGGGTAAACACAAGTTAATGATGGTTTTATGACTCCCAAACAAAATGCCATTGCTAATATGCAAAGTGGCATTTAATTCTAAAGGTAAGTATTACTGTCAAGTAAACAATTTAAGAACTCAGTTTACAAGGATCATATTTTAGTACTTTCTCCTCTATTGAGCTTTGAGATTTTTTTTAATGGAGTTCTGATGGTAAAGTCTATGCAGGCAGAGACCACATGTGTTCTTGTTTCTGTTTCTAAGAGTGCCTAGGAACACACACTAAGTGCTCAATAAATACTTTTTTGGACTACTAAATTTTGGAGTTAAATAAGTACGTATATAAATATGCATAACAAATATCAATTTAACTCAAGGGGACTAGGCCAATTGGTACCTCATTCCCTGAATATGCTTAGCACGCTCTGCCTACTTCCAGGTCATTTAAACTACACTGAAGAGCCTGCTTCTGGAAAGGCAAAAAGACATATACCAGAGGAATCCTGCTCCTGGATTCTGAGCACACACAGGCCATTCTGACTGCTTCCTGTCTGCGTAACTCATAAAAGAGGCTCTTCGGTCGGCTACCAGACCAGACCTGGCAGGCAGCTAAAGACTCACCCAGAAGTCACTCACTGCCTCACTGCTGCCTGGCTGGTCTGAGTAAAGAAGACAGGCTGTAAGTCTCAGGGTGGGGAAAGGCCTGTCCCTCTCCCTCATCCGACCATTGTGTGGGCTGTGAGCGCATGCCTCTGTTCTTTGGCATGCGGGGTCTGTTTTTTTCTACTCTTCAGCAGAGGACGACCTTGTGAGTTTCCAAAGATTGGAGAAGCATCCTCGATCTAGAATCTAGGATCCATGCCAACCAAACCAAGGTCAGGCCAGCCATTTACTACCGTTGGTGATGTACCTTTTATCAACATACCCATTACCGTCACCTCAAATGGGAGTAATCGATAGACACCTCCCTGTGGTTAACTGGGCAGTCTCTCGTTGTATCAATTCTACCGTCTCTGCATAAGCGCCTACCTGCATGTTGATGTAGGACGATCGTGGAGTGAGGCGCACTCTCTCTGAGTTCTGCTGGGCCGCTGCCGCCCGCTCAGCTGCTCGTTCACTCCCTGGAGCCTTCTTGTCAGCCAGAGGACTCTCTGAAGCACTTAGCTCTGGATCCGAGAGCAGTCGTTCAGTGGTGCTAAGAAAGAAAGCTTGAACGTTAGCCCTCGACCATAAACCAGAGGTCTCCATGTTTATGGTCCAAGTAAGTATCAGTGGTCTCCCCATTTACCACCAGCTATACTGCCTTTGGACTTCTTTGGACTTTTTCATCATTCCCCCATAGCCAGCTACCTTCTCCTACTCCCCCATCATTCTATACACCCACTTTCTGCTTTTCAGCTTCCTCCATTAGACTATAGGCTCCTTGAGGGCAGGGTCTGTCTTTGTTTTGATTTGTATTTGTATCCCAGTGCCTGATACTTAGTAGGCACTTTGAAAATATCTTCTGATGGAGTAAGCAGGCCTAGTTAACCTGAGAGGTAGCAGGGTGTATGGGGGGGGGGGGGAGAGAGAAGCTCACAGATCTAAAGGATTGTATTATCATATTGTAAGACAGAGGCTCACAAGATTCTGAAAGGTACTCTCAGTGGTCATCCGGGTTAGCCTTAAGAACACAGAGCATCTGACGCCTACTCTAATACTCCATCCCACTAGACCACAACCACTTCCCATGAAAGTCAAGGACAGAATTCAAAAGAAGAAGGCAACATCAATATCCAATTGTCAAATGAATTCTGGTGCATGCAGGCCAGCCTAGCTGAAGTAGCACTCTGAGGGAGCAGCAGGAGGGAAGGTCACCAACACCACCACTTTGGCTCCCATCTCTCCCCAAACTGAGAGGGAGTGGGTAAGAGCCCTGGACCTGGAGCCAGGGCTACCCAAGTTCAAATCTCAACTCAGACACTTGCTAGGTGTGTGACCCTATCCAATCACCTAACTTCTCTCAGCGTCACCTGTAAAAGGGGGCTCATAATAACACTTACCTCAAAGGATTATTGTGACGATCAAATGGGACAACATAGGTAAAGTGCTTTCTAACTTTAAGCACTACATAAATGCTAGCTATCATTATAGCTATGGACTATAAATGGGCTGCTCTGGGAGGGGTGGATTTCCCCTCAGCTAAGGTCAAGTTCAGGTTGGATGGCCAAGTATAGAGGGTACTGTAGGCAGCTTTCTGGTTTAGGGACAAAGAGGTTGGATTTAATGGCCCCTCGGGTCTCTTCCAACTCTGTGGTTCTGAGATATGCACACCTATGTGTGTGACAGACATGATCTGGAATATGTATGAAACAGTGGAAACCATTCTAGAAGGAGGAAGTCCTTGAGGGCTTGGGAGGAATCTTTTGTCACAGACTGGGGTCCTCAGCTGAAGGCACTCAAGGACGAATTCAGAAGTAAATGCAGACAAAATTATAGTGGGGAAATGGTAAAAGATGAATATTAAGAGACAGCCATGATTACAACAAACAAGATGATTATGGAAGATGAACAGAAGGTCAGTCTTAGGTCAGCAACATTTTCAGACCTCAGAGGGAAGTGTTTCAGAAAACTGAAATAAACTCAAAAGTCTAAACTGAAGGTGTGGGGATAGAAGGGGGGGAAGGGGAAAAGATGAAATGGGAGTAAAGGAGAACATGGAAAGGAAAGGAGAAAAGGAAAGGAGGGAGACAGAAGAGAAGGAAGGAGAGAAAGGAGTATGCAAGGATCAATAGGAGAAGAGAAATAAAAGTGGTGGAGAAAGAGAGAAGAGAGAGGCAGACAGGTAGCACAGCAGATAGAGAGCTCCAATAGCAAAGTCTAAAGATCTGGGAACCAAAAGTTTTTTAAAGCTAAGTCACACCACACAACTGTTCCCTGCAAAGGCAAAGAATGACTCACTGAAGAATGTAGAGCTGGGATTTGAACTCAAGTCCTTTCATTTTCCCATATGGAGCTAAATCGCTTTCAATATAGACTTTTACAGTGAATCATCAGAAGGATAATAGTGAACAGTAAGCATCATAAGACAGAGAACAGAATGGGTCGAACTGGCCCAAATCAGCAATGCAAAATTTATCAGGAATCCTCTTGGGCAAAGTCAACGTTACCCAGAGAATCCTAGCTCAGCAACAATTCAGCGAGTTCTAAGAGTGCTGGGGTTAGAGTCAAAAGGCCTCGATTTCTAGACCCATAATCCTGAGCAAAACACAGCGGCCTTAAGGCTTAGAATGGAAGGATCACAGATTTAGATCTGGAAGGGAGAACAATTATGCTGAGGTCCAGCAAAGGGGGAGTGACTTGCCAAAGGTCACACAGGAAATAAGGAAGAGCTCTCGAGGTTCAATGTTCTCAATGACAGATGGGGAACCACGACCAAAGAAAGGGAGCTACTTTTCTGGTGTCACACAGGTGGCACATGGTACAGTGAGGATTCCAAGTCAACTACTCTTCTTTACCTCTCAAAGACTCAGTGTCTCCCTGTGTAAGATGTGGATAGTATGACTACTTAGAGGATTAGTTGGAGGAAAGTGCTTCCCAAACCTGAAGGTGCCATGAAAAGGAGGAAATGATACTAGAATCCATAGGAAGCTGGTCAGAGGCCAACACCTACTGTAAATGAGAGTTCTTCGTGCCTTGAAGTAATTCTACTGTCTGCCTCTTGGAACAGGACACCTTGGAGGACGTCATCATCTGCTTGAGCTCAGTGGCACTGGCTGAATGCGAAGGACTTCGAGGCATGCCCACTTCCACAAAAGCATCATTGCAACCTGTGGAGTAGAGGAAGACACGTGAAAATCAAAGCAGCCGCCATCTTGGTATGGTGCCAGCATGAAATCAGCTGCCACAGACTGGTATCTAGCACTCTGGAGACATTACTAGCCAAAAGGACTTGTAACAACATCCTGTTTATAGGAGACTTGGTAGAGACCTCTGTAACCAAGAGGCACTTTTAAAGCACCCACTATGTAACAGATACTGCTCTAGGCACTGGAGATACAAAGACAAAAATTAAACAGCCCTTGACCTCAAGCTGCTTACAGTCTACTTGGGGAGAAAAACATCCACATACAGGTAAAGAGATACAAATGCTTCAGAGAGAAACATTACAGCCTCACAGTTCAAAGCCCTACTGACTGGGGGAATTCTGGAAGTTTCCACTTGAAGTAGGAAAGGCTATCATTTCTGTGACATTAATTCAAGTGTAAAAAAATCTTGGGCAAACATGCATGTGTGTGCATGGCTTTGCAGGTACAGATAGAGATGTGCACACACACCTGCACAGATATACACCTGCTGGCACAGCTGTGCAGATACCCACCACAGCAGCTGGGAGAATGTGTATTATATTATCATATGTTTTACATGTTATTTATGATTAAATTCCACATAGTATCATAGCTTTAGAGCTGGAAGTGTCCTTAGAGATCTTAGCCCAACTCCCCAATTTTACGACAAGGAACCTGAGGCACAGAGAAGTCAGGTGATTTGCCGGTAGTTAAGTGGCAAAGCAGTAACATGAGTCCAAGTCCAATGCCTTATCCACCACACCCTACTGCCCTGATTAATACTACCATAGTAATTATTTGATTTAATTGCTTCTTCTTTCATGGTATTTTCTTTCAACATACCAGAGATAGGACAAAGCTACAACTGGACTCCCATCTGTCTGGGAATGGTGCCTAGGCATTCCGCTCAGGGCCCCTTCAGAGCAGGAAACTCCCCCAAACTAGTGAGGGCAGGGGCAAAGGGGTGGCCCCTACCTTCTGGGGCACCGGACTTGGACGACACTTGCTCAGAGGTACTCGTCTGGCGTGATGGGTCACCATGATTTCCAGTCAGCACTTTTTCTCCAAGGGATGAGGTCGATATTGCACCATATTTTATCTTTGAAGACTGAAGCAGTTATAGGAAAAGGTCAGAGCTCTCATCTCACCTAAATGCTCACAAATTTCACATGAAAAAAAATTGTTTATCATGAAGGTTAAAAAAAAGAACAGAGCCGAGCCCTGCCAGATACAAGCAAGCAGTGGCCCAGAGCACACTCGTCACCAAGCTTACCTGCACATGTCCATTCAGAGCTGGAGAGCCTTGGGGGCCTTCTGACTGCATGCCATTGACATGGACTTCTATAGGAGTCAAGCCCGGAGGAGGAGATGGTGTTGTTTGGCTGTAGCTGGGCACTCCAGACAACAAAATACTGGTCAATGTGGCTTGGGCGGTAGAGGGAATCATGAGATGTGGGAGCGGCGGAAAACCTACAGAGGGGAAAATCCGAGCAAAGAGAACACATGATCACAAGGTTCCTGCTGCTACTGTCAGGCCCCAGAGGAAGAAGAACAGCATCCTCAGAGAGGCAACTACTTCACAATTATCCCCCAGGGTTTCATAAGAAGTCCAAGCATGTCTTATGAGAGCTCAGAAGGCCCTGTGGGGCAATCTGGTCCAAACTCTTCCTTAAAATGCACATTCAGACAACGAATGTGGCTGGTCCTTGGCCACGGTGCCTAATAAATGCTCATTCTTTCATGTGGCTTGGTAATGGTGTAGGCGGATCTACCACCAGGTCCCCAATCCCTGTTTTGGTATGACTTTCCACCATGTCAATCAGCTAGCTACGTGGCTACCAGGGCAGAACTGCTCCTTAGTCACTAGATTGCCACTTAGGAAGACTATGGGAGTCTTCAGGTTGGCAGGGGAAGTGACTGGAATTTGAGGAAGAGAGCTAGCATGAAATAGTGCAAAGAACATTGGCTCTGGTCAGAAGTGGGTTTGAACACCAGCTCAACTACTCAACTTTGACCTTGGGCAAGTGCCTTCACTGTTCTGGGCCCCAGATTCTTCATCTAGGAACGTCTTTTGCCTCTTTGCATTCCCAGTGCTTAGCACACTGATAGTGATAATATTAATAATAATAACTAACATTTATATGTGCCAGGCACTGTGTTAAGAGCTTTACAAATATTAACTCCTTTGATAATACAGTAGGTGCTTAATAAACACTTATTGACAGACTGATGAAGTGGGACTATGGTTCTTTCCATCTTTATAGGCATAACGATTCAAAGTTCCTTTAATCAGACTTTTTTTATATATGTTCAGATATGTCCCTTGTCTGGCTACTAATTTGTCTTAATGACACTATAAAGATTCTATTTTTATTACCATATCCAAATCAACCCTACAAACATTTGTCAAATGTCTATCGCTCACACGGTGCTGATCAACACAACAACTAAAAATAAAAAACAGAGCCTGCCCACAAGGAGCTTACAATCTACCAGGGGAATGTCTCCCATAAAATCCTTAGGCTCCTGCTGCCTTCCTTTAAATTCCCAGCATGCTGACCTGTAGCACTTGAAGTGCTGGCAAGTGGGGGAGCCCAGAGCGTGGGGCTTGGAGTACCAGAACTTGGACTCTGCAGAGGGCTCACAGAGCTGTTCAGAGCATTCAGGAGCGAGTTTGGAGTCGTCGAGGTGTTTACAGATAAGGCAGTCGGGCCGAGAAGACCTGTGTGGAAAGTGTGGAAAGTTAGCCTGTGTAATAGTTCTAGATTTTACTGTAAAGATGCCCCTAGTATTACTCCTTCAAATGTAAATTATAATAAGGAGCCCTTCTTTAAAACAAATAGGGCATCCCCAAAGTCTAAACTCAACTCTAAGCCACTAAAACTTAAGAAAGTACTAAGAATTCTGGGACACCCTATATACTATACTTAGGAAATTCCTCCAATGGATTTGTCCCCTGGTGTGTTAGTGAGTTGTGGGGTGACCCTGGGTCTTCAATGTCTACAAACCCAGGAACTGTGGTCTGAGGACTGACCTAGCTACATGCAGAGAGGCTGGTCGCCAAGTAATGGAGATGCAGTGACTGTCACAAGAAGGGAGAGAGAGGTTATGCACAGGACAATGTCTGACTAGGGTACGTTACGGTCTCTGTGTGAGGCAGGCTTGGCCACGCCAAGTTTGTTTAATCTAGAAACCCTCCCCCAAGAGAATCTAACTTCCTTGAGGATAGGAACCACTTTTTTTTTAATTTTCTATCTCCCGCTCAGCACATAGTAGATATTTAACAAATGAACGTAAAATTGAACTGAAAAAGGAACCTGCCCTCTCTCAGAATCCTAGATTCTCCAGGTTGAGAATGATTTCAGAGGCCACCTAGCTCACCCTATTCCTGGGATCTTACAATAGGTGAAACAGCCTATAGACCTCGAGGAGGGAGGGACCCCCTTTCTCCCTGGGCAGCCCTCCCCATGTCAGAACAGCTCTCATTCCTATGAAGAATTTTCCCATCATCAAATGTAAATATGCCTCTTTGCAACTTCAAACCCTGGCTATCAAAGGGCTTACTCTACCCTCTTGTAGGTAGGGTAAGGAGATTCTCAAGTCTGCTGCCTTTTCTTATAGAATTCATCCAAGTCAAACTCCCAGGCTTGATGTCCACATACCCCCTTTTCCGTAGGTTTACATGGGATGGCGGTCGTGCTTACATCAGGTACCAATGGTCTGACACATGCACCCCTTATCAGTCTTCTTGCTTTGAGCTGATATTGCAGTTAAGTCCTTAATGTTTCCCCTCCTCTACCCCTGTAGAGCAATGGGCTCTAATGTTCCATTTGCAGATAAGCCAGTCTATTCCCAACAGGCTATTTGTGGTAAATGGGACATAACCAATAAATAAATAAATATATCATTTTTCTGATGTCCACCTCAGTACACTTCCTCCTCTCCTCCATCAAAAAACAAATGACCAAAGGCCTTTTTTATGTTTGGACATATCTACTTTAGCACTTCAAAGGGCAGAGAGATTTGCTCTTAAATTCAGTTAAAATGGTTGAGAACATGTGTATGAGCGTGATGTGGCCCTGTGGCTGCTATCTGCTTGTCAGGTGTCATCCACAAAGTAATGGCATTGTCAGAAATGCCCAGAGTCACTCCACCCTCTCCCCTAAGAGCTTCACAAGGTGAAGGTCCCAGAATGGGCCTCCCTCTGCTCCCCTCTCCAGGCCTATGTGAGGCGGAAGCTGGTGTGGATTGCTCTCCATGGGCCATATTCCTTCAAGGGCTCCCCCCATCACCAACTGAATAAAGCACAAACTCCTCTCAGCTAATCAACCTGCCTGTCCAGCCTTATATTACAGTACAGTGGAATAAGTGTTGGACTGGGGTCAGAGGACTTGAGTTCAAATCTTACTACCTGCATGAGCCTGGACAAGCCTCTGTTTTTACATCTGTAAAATAAGGAGGCTGACCTAGATGATCTCGTAAGGACACTTCAAATTCTAACTCCAGGATCGAAGGCCTCTTCCTTCTCCCCATTCTGTCAGGAAGTCAAAACGGACCAAATCTCTGCCTGGAAACACAGTCCAGCCTCCCTGGCTTCACTTTCTATTCCCTATGTTAGTTTTCCTCCATTGTCTCTGCTTGTTGAATTCACTTGTAGTTTTTATAGCCCAATTCAAATGCCACCTCCTCTAGGATGCTCCCCCTGGTTCTACCATATTGGTAACGATCTGCCCTCTCTGACTTCCCAGAGCCCTTTGGGTTGTAACAGTCGTGAAATGTTATGTTTCACAGTTATCTTGATGTCTCATCTCTCCCTACTAGACTGTAAACTACCTGAGGGGAGTCTCTAGGCTTCGTACCTGCCTCTCAATGCCCCATGGGCTCTACGCTAAATAGGTGCTTAGTAAAGCTTTTCTGTTGTTACGGATTTGCTACAACAAACTTTGATTAAATTAAATGTACATGCACCAGACAGTGCGAATACAAAGAATAAACTGAAAGAGCTCCTACCCTCAAGAAGCTTCTATGTAATGGGTAGAGGGAGGAGGGACACAACACACAACACACACACAGATAAGAAAACAAAAAGTATCTAGGAAAGTATATCCAAACGAGATGACACTAACAAGTGGGGAGATCAGTCAGTACTCCTGCAGCAGAAGGCGTCTGAGCCGGGCTGAGAAGGAAGGTAAGAGGACTCAGAGAGAGAAAGAGGCAGAGAGGCAGGGAGAGACAGGAGAGAAAGGGAGAGACAGAGAGAGAGACAAAGACAGAGAGAGAAAGGGAGAAAGAGAGAGAGAGAGAGAAACATATAAAAAAGGAGAGACAGAGGCAGGGAGAGAAAGGGAAAGGCAGGGAGAGAAAGGGAGAGACAGAGAGAGAAAGGGAGAAACAGGCAGGGAGTGAAAGGGAGAGACAAAGAGGGAGAAAGAGAGAAACAGAGAGACACAGAGAAAGGGAGACACAGAGACAGAGAGGTAGAGAGAAAGGAGGAGAAAAAGAGAGAAAAAGGGACAGAAAGAGACAAAGACAGAAAGAGAATGGGAGAGAGAGAGAGATGGACAGAGACAGAGAGAGAAAAAATATATAGAGGCAGAGATAGAAAGGAAGACAGAGACAGAGAGAAAAGGAGACAGAGAAAAAGGTGAGGACGGAATACAGTCAAGGCACAGGACAGCCCATACAAAGGCCTGGTGGTAGAAAGGAAGGTTGCGGATGGAGAATATTGTGAGTCGGCTGGTTTAATGAAAATGGCGAGTTCATGGAGGGAAAGGATCTGAAAGACGCCTAGAGAAGCATGTGGGAATCACTGCAGACTGAGGATGCTGAATCTTCTCCTAAAAACCAGAAGGAGCTGTGGAAGATTTTTAAAGAGAGAAATGATATCATCAGATTTGTGTTTCACAAATATTGATTTGGCATGGGAGGCTGGTTGAGGATTAGGCAAAATGGAGAAGAAAAAAGAAAATCTTGTTCCATAGTTAAGGAAATCTGGGCATGACTCTGCTTAAAACATGCTAGCATTCACTGGCAATCAGTTTTCAAAAACACCTTATATCCCCATCTCTAGACTGATGAAAATTTTGCAAAATCCACAGAAAACACATACGTCACAATAGGCCATTAGTCTCGCACCCTCATATTATTTCTGGTTTAAAAGGACAAACAAGAATAGTCCCTGAAAACAAAGTCATCAGCTCTGGATTACTGAAGCCAATCCCAGAAGAGAGAGGTGACAGAAACACACGCATAGATGTTAACGAGAAGCAAAAGCTGGGGGCAGGGGAGGGGGAGAGCATTTTCCTCGGAAGGAGAGCTGAAGAACAGCCCACAGGGCATTGACAGACAGCTGGAAGAACGTATTTTATACCTAGTCCAGTGAGTCCCAGGCCCGCAGAAGCTAAGATATCCAAGCCCGGACATGACAAGCCGGCAGGGCACGAGACTGGAGATGGGCTGGTTGTTATGGTAACGCCACTACTTTCAAGTCCGAGGAGACATTTCCTGGCTTCATACATATTTAAGGCATTTCGCTCAACGCTTTTCACAATCACAGACTATGAAAATACATAATGGAGGGGAAAAAAATGTGAGATGCAAGTAGAATTCAAGGAATTGGGGGTGGGGAACAGTGATGAATGTGTTAATTCCAAATTCCACTCAGGGAACCATAAGCATTACCTGAACCATCAGCTTAGATACCAACAAAAGATTGAGAATTTGAACATAAAGCTTTTCCTTTCCCCATTTTTCATAAGACAAAGCAAACTGGGCACTGAGTATACCTAAGAGGGAGGCTTGGAACAGTGGAAAGAGAAGATGATTTTGAGCCAGGGGACCCAGAAGGGAGCCCCAGCGTTGCCCTCTTAAGACCAGTGTGACTCTAAGCAAAGCACTTTAGCTTTCCGGGCCTGGGTCTCCTTGTCTGTAAGATGAGAGAGCTGGACTAAAATGGCCTCTCAGCTCTGAATCTGTGATCTGATGAACTCTCTAAATTCCAGTTTCCAGAGTAGTACAAGGAAAATACCAATGGCCTTCTCAAGGAAGACCAGAGGATCTGGGTTCAGATTCCCACTCTGATACTTTCTATCCATGTGATCTTGGGTAAGTCACTTCTCTCTGTGCTTCAGCATCCTCAGCTCTAAAACGAAGGCATTAGAATAGAAGCCGGGAAGGTCCCTTCCATGTTGGCCAACTCTGACTCTGGACATAGCGGATCCACGAGGTGTCCTTGAATCAGAGCAGGTGAAGGTAAAAAGGGCCTCCGAGGGCATCCAGGCCAATACCTCATCTTTACAGAGGAGAAATCTGAGTCCCAGAGAGGTAAAGACCTTAGGATCACAGGCTTATAGAATGAGAATTAGAAAGAACCTCAGAGATCATCTAGCCCAATCCCTTCACTTTGCAGATGAGGAAACTGAGGCCCAGATAGGTGACGTCTGTCCCATTAGATTGTAAGCTCCTTGCGGGCAGGGATCATCTCTTGACCTTTTTTGTATCCCTAGCATTTAGCACAGTGCCTGGCACATATTAGGCTCTTTATCAACGATTACTGACTTGAAGTGAAGTAACTTACCCAAGATCACTGAGACAGTAAAGAACAGAGCTCAGACTCAAATCCAGATTTTCTGACTCCTATTCTCCTCCTCCCATTTCACTATGAACTCTGGGACTCAAAGAAGAGTTATCTTTCACTTTATGGAATAGCTGCATACCAGCTAAGCTGGCTACAAAGCAATTTTCTATACAAGGAATCCTATTTTCCCTATTGATTTCCTTTCTAAATATGGAAAAATATTCATTCCCATGGCACAAAACACTTAGCAATATTTTAAAAATTGGGTGGTAAAGAGAATAAGATGGTAGCTATATCATTAAGTGACTCAACAACACACAGTTGAATTCAGTGGGAACAGCAGCCTATACTGGCAGGCTCCATTCTCCTGTTAACCCTTTCCTGACCTCCACTCACTTCTCCACTCAGAGGACTTGGTCATTCAGCAACTCTTCATCCAAACATTGTTAACTTTGCTGGAAAGAGGGGGAGTCGCTACACCTGAATTTGAATCACCCATTGGGCTTTAACTCACTGGATGAGCACAGATAAGCCCCCTATTCTATGTGAGCCGCAATTTCCTCATTTGGGAGATAGAAATAACAATCATGGAATTCCCACCTCCCAGGATAGTGATAGAGGGAGTACTATATAAATTGTAAAGTGCTTAAAAAATGTGAAGTGTTGTCATGAACCTTTTGGCTGGGCAAGTACAGTGAAGTGCATTAGCTGATCTAGCTGTCTTAAAGGGACCCTCCAAATATGACCTGTGTATGATACTCATCCTTCTTAAAAGTGTTTTAAGAACCATATAATCTAAATGCAGATCGAAGCATACTATTTTCACTTTTTTGTTTGCTTTTTTATCTTTTGGTTTTTCCCTTTTGTTCTGATTCTTCTTTCACAACATGACTGATGTAGAAATATGTTTAATATAATTGAACACATATAGCCTATATCAGATTGTATGCCATCTTGGGGATGGAGAGGGAAGGGAGAAAGAAAAAAGTTTTGAACTCAAAATCTTATAAAACTGAATGCTGAAAATTATCTTTACATGTAATTTGAAAAAATAAAATACTATTAAGTGGAAAAAAGTGCTTTATGAATCCTACAGGACTATCACCATCCCACAGATGCAGTGCAGAATAGTGAAAAGGTTCTAGTTTTATGGAGATGTTCACCACCTGCATGACCTTGGGCAAGGTCATTGAACACCTCTCAGCTAGAGGTTCATCTTCTGTAGGACGAGGGGCTGGACGAAAGGCCCTTCTAGCCTCTATGAGTATTATCTCAATACATTTTTACAGTACACAGAAATGGTGGGACTCCTTGGCTTCTTGGAGACAAGGTTCAGAAAAGTGAAGACTGAAAACAAGGTCATTTTAATATTCAAGGCCTGGCTGAATCTCAGAGGCTTTATCTATACTCAAATAAGGAAGTCTACTTGACAAATAGACATCTAGCCTTTGCAAGAAGATGTCCACTTGGGGGAAACTCACTACCTCTGCAGGTAGCAGCACATTCTGCTTCTGAGTTGCTTGATATTGAGATTTTTTCTCACCATAGCTCCTAGCTCTACCCTTTGGGGACAGGCAGAAAAAGTCTTAATTCCTTTTCCATGTGAAAGATCTTAAAATATTTAAAGACAACTCTTATGCCCTGCCCTCTCCCCAGTTCTCTCTCACATTCCTAGTTGCTTCAAATGATTCTAAAATGGCGACGTCTTTGCTCCTTTTATCATCCTGGTCACCCTCCTCTGGATATACTCCAGCCAATGTCACCCCTAAAATAGGGCCACTAGAACCAAACACAATAAATAGTTAAGAGAGTGTTCAGAGAATTAAAATTAACACCAAGAGATTTCCACTCACCTCTTTCCTTCCCACCTATAATACATCAAACACACTTAAACTAGAAGATTGAATACAGTATGTTTCACTCCAAATGAGTTATTGGCTGTGATTCATATTTGAAATTTTTAAAAAAGAGAATAATTGAGAGGAGCGGAAAGACTTAAGAGAATCCGAGAAAGGATTTCAAAACAACCAACACTTGTGTGGGGAATGGTCAGCTGCCCCCGACAACAAGGAGCTCCTGCCTGGTTCCATTCCAAGTGATATGTACATCTGAATAGCAGAGAGCTTAGCAGGAGAAGGTGGGCAGCACGGCTCTGGGTTCCCAGTGTGCGGATCCAGAACCCACCTTGCTCGGCTGTTTTGGCTTGGGCTTGATGCTGATGAAGACGTCCAGCTGTTCCATCAACTGAGCGATGAACTGAGGTTCCACATCGATCTCTTCCTTCATATCAAACATCAACACAAGAGGAAGACAGCCCTGGAGGATGTGACCAAAAAGGCAGGTAAGAAGAACAAGGGAGTGAGCCTTCTTCAAAACCCAAGATGTCCCATGACCACATACAACAGATTCGGTAAAATGTGAGCAGATAAAGCCTCAACACTGCACTGGGTAGTTCGTTTTGCTGAAGAAGCTACTTTTGTTTCTCTTTCTGTGAGGCAATTGGGGTTAAGTGACTTGCCCAAGGTCACACAGCTAGTAAGTGTTAAGAGTCTGGTCTGAGACTGGATTTGAACTCAGGTCCTTCTGACTCCACAGCCAGTGCTCTATTCTCCACACCACCTAGCGACTCCCTAGAAGCTACTTTTGTGAATGTGAAAATAAGACTCTTAAAAGTCTCCTCCCCTCCATGATATGGAGCAGGACTTTTACTGTGTTGTCACTCACTTGCTCAAGACCCAACACAATGACCTCAATCAGGGCAAGTTTGGATGCTTATTCTGGCATTCAAGGCTCTCCATAATTTCAGGGGCACAATTAGGAAAGAGCGCTAGATTTGGAATCCAAAGACCACAGCTCGAATTGCCACTCTGCTCACTGGGCAAATCAGTTACATCATCAGTAAAATGGGGAGAATGATCACTATCTGTGCTGACAGCATGCAGCCACACAGCTCAGCACAGTCTCTTACATCCTGGCTATGTGACCCTGGGCAGGTTATGCTCTAGGAAGCACCTGTCCTGCATTAAGAGGAGGAGCATCTTCACTGAACTTTCCTAGAAAAATGAAAGTCTGGGCCCCAGTCTATCACCAATGTGACGTAGCTCTTCTAAGAATCCAACTCTTCACAATCTGTTGGCGAGTTATTTTTCTAGAATGAGTCCCATCAGAGCTCCTCACACATGCCGTTCTAGCCAAACAAGCCTGATATTCTCTGAATTTCACGTGCTTTTCCAGCCTAGGCAGCTTTGCTCAGGCTGTACTCTAAGGTACTTCTCACCCTCCTTATCTGAGTACCCATATCTCCCCATTAGAAGCTCTTTAATTTTTGCCTTTGTATTCCCAGAGCACCAGGCACACTGCAACTATATAATAGATGCTTATTGTAGACACAGCTTGATGTAAGAGATAGACGGCCACCCCAGACTGAGGAAAACTTGGTTTGAAGGCTGCCTCCCAAGGCAAGTCACTGACCTTGTCAGTATCCTCAGGACACTTTCTAAGACCCCAAGGTGTGGCACAAGGTGCAGACCCCCATTGGTAGCAGCTCATTAGAGTCTGCCCACACTTGATAAAATCAGCGATCAAAGAAAGGGGAGAAGAACCCACATTTACAAAAATATTTAGAGCATCTGTTTCAGTGGCAAAGAATTGGAAATTGGGGGAGAGTACATCAATTGGGAAATGAATGGCTGAACCAGCTGTGGATATGAATGTGATGGAATACTATGGTGCCATAAGAAACAATGGAGAGAGAGAGTTTCAGGGAAACCTGGGAAGATGCATATGAACAGATACGCAGTGAAGTGTGAAGAACCAGAACAACTTATACAATAACCAACAGCTTTGAAAGAGGAAGGAACTCTGATTAATACAATGACCAACCATAATTCCAGAGTATTCATAATGAAGCGTGCTCCCCACCTGCAGATAAAGGTGACTGACTCCAGGTACAGACTGAGACATACTTTGAGGGGGATGTGGTCGATGCAGAAATTTGTTTTGCTTTATTATGTGTTTGTACAGGGCTTTGATTTTCTTAGTTTCTCAATGGGTAAGGGGAGGGGAGGGAAGGGAGATGGAAAGGAGAGAATATAGACCTGAAAATAAAATAGATCTCAATTTTATTAAAAAAAAAAAAAGAAAGAAAGAAAGAAAACAACTCCAGTTTAATTATGTGTAGGCAGAGTAGTGAGGCCTGGAGTCCCTTAAGAAACATTTAATCCTACTGAGAAGCATTTGGGTGGAAGTTCTAGTTTATTGCGGATTTGATTCTGACTCTGAGAATTGGAACTTCAAACCTTCCCCATGCTTGACATCAATGAGCAGAATGTTTGATGGCTCAGTGTGCACTGGAACTACCCGGGACATCCCAGACAGAAAAACATTGCCGATTCACAGGCTTTACCAGGTGTTTGTTTTTTGTTTTGTTTTGTTTTTTTGTTTCCAGAAAAAAATCAACAGTTTTCATGTTTTATCATTTAGGTTTTCTTAATTCTTGAATGGTTTTCACTAGGCCAGGTAGGTAAAGATCCTACAAAGAATTTCATCTGCCATCCTCAGCTTGATTAATCAAGTCAGAAATAAACCTGAGGCCTGAGACTGAGCTCCCTGGCTCCTGGTACCTCAGGGAGGGCTCTGTTTGCCATCAGCACTTCTGTAAAGGATGGGCTACATGGAGGGTGGAGACAATAGAATGAGGGGGCTTCATCAGGAGACCTCTATAGTCCAACTGAGGGATGATGAGGGTCTGACGAGGATAAGACAGAATCCACAAGACTTCCCAACTGATGTAATATCAAAGTTGAAGGAAAGGAAAGAGTCAAGGATGAGTCCAGGTTTGAAAGCCTCAGGCAGCAGGTACTGATGCCCTCAACACTAACAGTGAAGGTCCGGAGGGAGATGGGCTTATGGGAGGAAATAAAAAATTCTGGTTTGGACAGGCTGAGCTGGAAATACTTTATAGGACACAGAATTCAAAGCATCCAACAGGCAGTTAGTGATGCTATATGGGAGCTCAGGGGAGAAGTGAAGGCTGGAATTATCCATTTGGGAATCATCTGCATAGAGATGTTCACCAAACCCATGAGAGGTGACATGAAGGAAGATGCTACAGAGGAAGTAGAGACGTGATCCCCTCATTGTGAAATACCTATGGGGATGGAGTCAGGACATGATCTAGCAAAAGAGATTCACAAGGAAGAATTGACAGGCAGGAAAGGAAGCAGAGGAATGCAAGGGACAGTTATGCAAACCAACGGGTGCAAAAGTATGTGGGAGAAGAGGGTGGTCAACAGTGTCAAGAACTACAGATGGGGTCAAGAAGGAGGAGGACAGTTTACAGAAAAACATTACTCACAAATGAGATTTAGAAGAGCTAAACTGTAGAGTTTAAACATTAGAATGTTAGAATTTCTTTTACAAATGAGAAAAACAAATTTTCTCTTAAGACAGCCCTGGATTTTCCTCAAAGACTCTGGTTTAAATAGTGGGTGATGATGGTGAAATTGTAAAGCCTAAAGGCTTCCAGCCAGCTAGTCTGTCATGCATTCAATCCCATCTGCATTTATTAAGCGCCTCTTGTAACTCAACAGTTGCTAAGCTTGGATTCTCCAAGGCAATGGTGCCCTTCGTTTGCATTTCTATCAGGTAGAGTCAACACATTTATAATTGCTCAGAATAACATTTTCAAAAGTTTAATGAATTCAAAAGTAACTTGTAGAGAAGTCAAAAGGAGAGGGAAGAACATGTGAATAATAATCACAGTAATCCTTGGGTATTAGTAGGCCAGTCACACTGCTGCTGCCTTCCAAAGGTGAACACAGAAAAACTCTTAGCTCAGGAAATTAAACCTGGGAGATACAGGAAAGCAGACTTTACTTTGAGAGGGGAAAGTTGGTCAAAAGAAGCCATTCATGACTAATCGAATCCTATCCAATTCTTCCATGACCACAATCCTTAATGCTTAGAAAACTAGCTGTCAGCTGCCAGGGGTGGGAGCCACCATGGCAAGGCCACTTTTCTCAGCTTTGAAAAAGTGGGCTCGGGAAGGCAATCACAGCAAAGGTCACGTCTCGAGCTTATTGAATCAAATATCACTAAAGGTCAGGCCCAGATGAGCACTTGGAATGGAAAGAGAAGTGCTACAGAAGGATGTCTGTGTGGGCCTAGTCTCTGCGCCTTCAATTAAGGGATTAGATCCCTGTCTAGACCAACATGTTTGAAAGTCAACACAGGAAATATGGGTTGAAAACATGACAGATGGGGAGGTTTGCTGAATTCTAATGCAACCAGTGGACTTTTCTTTTTATCACTGACACCCAAATATTCTTTTCTGAACATTTTTTTTCAGTGAAGATTTATAAAATTTTCTGCCTACTAAATCTCCCGAGTGGAAATAAAATTTTACCTAATGCTTGTTTAGACGCTTAACATTTTCCTTTTTGGTCTTGATCTACAATTTCATCAGAACAGGGAACTCTGTTGAGGTGAGAAAACTCCCTTCACCAATTTCTTGTAACTTATACTCTAAGAGAGTCCAAGAGGCTAAATGACTTTCCCTGGGTCACATAACCAAGACGTGCTTGAGGTGAGACTTGAACTCAGGTCACCCTGACTTCCAAGGTAGCTCACCAATGGGCCTGTAATATACAATCTATCAAATATCTATCAAACATCTATCAATCTAATAATACATGTTATCTATCAATGTGCATGTGTTCCTGTGTATCTGAAAAAAATAGGACTGAATTCAAGCACAAATTGATGATTTTTTTTAAAACTGAAGGTCAGACTTTCACACAAAGACACACAAACATACACATATATATTTCAAAGAATCTGGGAGCTAGAAGCCTATTGATAAGCAACTAAACGAGAAGTCATCAGGTCCAACCTTTTCATGGGTTACAATTGACTCTTCATATATAACATTTTATTTTTCCCTAATTACATGTTAAAACAATTTGTAACCTTTTTTATAAGCTTTGAGTTCCAAATTCTATCCCTTCCTTCCTTCCTCCATCTCCTCCCCCCTCCCTGAGATGGTAAGCAGATATACATTACACATGTCAATCATGTAAAACATTTCCATATTAGTCAGTACAGCTGACTATTAAAAGTCATTTTCCAGGGGCAGCTAGGTGGTGCTGTGAATAGAGCTCTGGCCTTGCAGTCAGGAGGCCCATGGTTCAGATCCGACCTCGGACACTTGACACTTACTAGCTGTGTGACCCTGGGCGAGTCACTTAATCCTGACTGCCTCACCGAAAAGCAAAAAAAAAAAAAAGTCATTTTCCATACCAGGACCAGCCAACCAAAAGGATATAGGTGCCAGCTTTAGAATTGGAGGTATCTCAGAAGCCAGCCGTTCAATTCATCTATCAACAAGCATTCATTAAGTGCCTACTATATGCTAGGTACTAGGGCAAGGAGCTATCACTCCCCCAATGTCATACAGGTAAGAAGTAACAGGGGCAGGATTTGAAACCAAGCCCTCCAGCTCCAAATATCACACTCTTTCTCCTGCTCCACAGTCTTTGTTCAAAAGTTTTTTGGAGAAAAATTTACCACATCAATACAACATACTGGCTTATGACAAACACTAGCTCCGACCCCAGGGTTTCTGCCACTCATTTCCCTACACACTTACCATAAGATATTGTCTTGCAAGACAAACTGACTCAATGGTGCCCTGGAGGTAGACAGTAGATTTCTTCTGTGGGTTGTTGGGGTCAGGAAAGTGGATCTGAGCACCAGTTCTCTGCATGATCTGTTTGACATGGCTTCCATTTCGACCCATCATAAAGAGATGGTGCTGAGTGGCGATGTCTAGCTGGGTACTCACAGGGATGGCAGATGCCAAGCTCCCTGCAAGATGCTCCAACAGCATGGCAGTTCCTTCCTAGGAGGAAACACAGGTGGAAAAACAGCCTAATAACCAATCCACGCAAAGGGCCAGGCATGAGCCTAGAGTACTTTGGGAATTTCTAAAAATGGAACCTCTTTTGATGTTTACTGAAAATGCATTTGTTAAGAAGCCTCTGAATGCTGGCATTCTTGTGATGGAAGGGATCTCCTTCATTTTTTGTGTTATGGACCCCTTTAAAAGTCTGTGGAAGCCTACCGACCCCTTCTCAAAATCATTTTTAAACATGTGAAGGAAATATTCAACTTCAGTTAGAGGTTAGTAAAAATAAGTATGTCTTTTCTTTGTCCCCTAAGCTCCTGGGTCCCCTGAAAACTACCTCGGGGCAGGGGAAGAACCGTTACCCTACACTATGTGATTTACCTTCACTGCACTGGAGTTGTTTTGGGACCCTCGAACAATGACGGTAGCACCATACATGCGGGAACGCTGCTTAAATGATACTGAAATGTTGTACGTTTGCGATATGTGCTGAAGAGTGGGTGAATTGGGATCTGGAATGGGCTGCAGAATGCCAGCGATGGGCAGCTCAAACATCAGGACCAAGGGAAGCAGCTCCTGGAAAGAGACCATGAGAAGGCCAAGAAGAAAGTCATGCCTTGAGACATGGGGAAGAATGATCTAGCTGACGAATGCCTGCCTGAAAAGGGATTTCTTAAAATATCTCTTATTTCTGTTGCAGAATTAGCTTAGGTTATATAGTAGAGTCTCAACATAATACAATAGCCTCAATGTTCTCAGTGCCATTAGAGGCAGATAACAAATGTAGGGAAGATGCTAAAAGTCTCCAACAATAAAATTATCTTCGTTGGAGATATTTTATTTTTTAAAAGCAAACAAATTATTTCACCTAGGGTAAGACTTGGGAGTGGGAAAAATGAGACAGTGGCAGCGTAAGAGATAGTCCAGACACAAGGAGAGATGCTCCCAGCTGGCTTAACCCAATTGGCAGTGGCTGGAGAAAGGTGGGCCGTGACACTTTGCAACAGGACCCTAATGATGGAGTTTGGGGACTAGACAAGGGAGTTGAGTTGATTCAGGCCACAGGACAGGAAGAACAATTTCTACACCAGCTGAGTGATTTTCCTCAAGTGCAAATCTGACTGTTTCACCTCCTCTGACTACCCAAAAAACCTCAGTGACTCCGTTACCTACAGGATCAAATATAAAATCATCTGAAGCATCTGAAGCGTAGCATCTGAAGCTATTCCCACCCCACCCCCTCTACGTCCAGGCTTCCTATGGTTTAATCCTACCCACATAGTCTACACTGGCCTGAACTCCATTAGCCACACAGAATAGACCATTTCCAGACTCACCGGTTTTTCACAGGTCGTACCCATGCCTAGAATCTCACTCCCCACTTCCTTATTCCAGCTTCCAGGCATCCCCAAGGACTCAGCTCAAATATCATTCAGAGGCCTGCAATGGGCCTCTGGTCCTAGCCCTCTACTTCCACCAACTCCCTCTATGCCTTCCCTCTGAGAGGCCCTTTTATTTACACCGCATAGAGCTTTTATGTACATAGTTTGCATATTGTCTCCCCACTTAGCATGTGGGCTCCTTCAGAGCAGGGATCACGTTCTCATTTTTCTTTGTCCCTCCAGTGGCTAGAACAGTGCCTGTAACTTAGAGATCATCTACTCAATCAATCAGCAAGCATTTATTAAGCACCTACTATGTGCTAAGCACTGTGTTAACTACTGGAGATACAACCCCTCCCAACTGAAAGATGGAGAACTAAGTGAGGGACAAGGAGATAAAAGATTGCCCCCACTCCTTGAGCAAAGTCAGACCACTGGGGCAAAGCACGGGTCACTCTGTCCTAGTTATGGCTTTAGTTAATATATAAATCTGTGAAGACATTTGGGGGGAAAAAAAACAATTTAGAAGGTGAATACAAAGAGGGCATCAAACCCAGGCTTCCCAGTTCTTTCTTACTTACCATAGATGGCAGCAAATGATTTTGATGTAAAAATAAATTACAATAGTGCCCTACTTCTTCTAATTCTAGTAATATTGACACTGACTTACATTATTCTAAGTACATAAATAGTTACCCGAATTCTAACTCGGGCAGACTCCACACCAGCTGGCTGTCCTGCAATAGACACCTGTGAAAACCAGAAAACAGACAGTGAAGCTTCTTTTAAACACAATACAAAGCAACAGGCTTCTCCTGAATTCTCAGTGATTTGCATCTCCTCAGTGCCAGGTACCACCAACTCATCGAAGAGAGACACCCACAACTGGCCTTCTTCCCATCACAAGACAGGGAGATCTTTGCACAGCATTTTGTGCTGGAAATGACTTTAGTTTCTCTTGGAGTTCAAACCCTCGACAGCCACAATGAGCAAGCCTGGTCTCAACCACACCTCAGTGGACTGGAATGAGCCATCCAAAGATTCTCTCAGGACGCTGATGAGATGTTCGCTTTCAGAGAACATTCACAACCTGACACTTTCCCTCTCAATTCATACCTAAGATCATACGCTCCCTTGTCTTTCCACCCCAGCCAGCCCCTGTTATTGTTTGTGATAATAAATATGAGAAGGCTTTCATAGCTACAATGTAAAAGCATTTACATAGTGCTTTAAAGTGCATAATGAATTATAATTCTCAGAACAACCCTGGGAGGCAGGTCATGCAGGTATCACCATTCCCCTAATGTAAATGGGAAAACGGAGGCTCAGAGTTCAAATAACTTGCAGACCTAAGGTCATGTAGCAAATTGAGCTGCAAAAGCTGAATCTGAATCCAGGTCTGAGTTCTACTTCCAGCAAACCTCATATATCTCTTACTACCTAAATGTGAGGCGTCATTGCTTGGCTATGCTCCTAGAGAGAGGCAGAATGGAGCGATGGATATGGGGAATCGGGAAACCTTGGCTTAAATCCCGACCTCTCACACATACTAACTATTCAACCTGGGTCAAGTCATGTGATTTCTCCGAGCCTCAGTCTCCTCATCTGTACAATAGGGGTAATAATGCCTATACTATTACTTCCTTTATGACTCCCTTGGAAGGCTCCAATGAGACGGCGTATAGAGAGTGCCTGAGATACCCTAAAATACTTTAGAATCTCTTTGAAGGTAATGACAGGGAGGATGAGGATCACAAGGGAAATGGCTGCTATGATATTTTAAATTCTCTGTTGTTTTAACGGAGCACAGGTAGAAATGCCTTCAGGGTACACTTCAGAGTTCCCAAGCATGTCTTATATACTTAAGTCACCAAAACAAAGCTAATGGTTTGCTTCAGACACCAAGCTCTCATCCTTACATGGCTGAAGGACAGAGCCTGAAGGACCCTCGAGGCAATTTGCTCCAGCCCTTTACTGGAATACCCACAGGACTGTCCAAACACAGCAGAAGAGACCAGATACATCTCTGGGATTTCTGGACTCCACTGAGAAAGAGTCTGACCCAGCTCTGTAAAATGCCTGACCTGACCAAGAAACATTTCCTGAATATTTCTATCTTTATGTCCCTTGACTATTCTATGCATTTTCAATTTCATGTCCTTTCTTCCCCGGCCAAAAGAAACAAACAGCCATCATCCCCTCCGCAAAGCCCCATCAGCCATTCCTAAGACCATTGGCTGCCATGTCCTTCCTGCCTTTGACATTTTCCATTGAACTAAACATGATTCTTTTTATCTCTCCGTGGACATCAGGTTTTACAGGTTTTACACATTCTCATCTCTTGCCCTTCTTCAGCTCAAAAGAGGCTTGTGTGACATCACAAACATTGGCGGCCCCCCAAGAGTCCCAGGCAACGTTAGAGGAAATCACCTGGTTGCTTTTTTCTGCTTGGTTGTTTCTATTGGAATCTGGAAAGTGGATGTGACATCCTGTTTCCTCCATCACTTTTTTAATATTGTTCCCACCTTTGCCAATTACATGAGAATGCTCTGTGTGTGAAACATCCATCTTCAGGGTGACTCGGTTGCTCTATGTAGATACAATGGTATTAATCAACTTGAATACATCTCAAAAAACAGAAAATTATAGTTTTTTTAAACTCTTTTTTCCCAATGGAAAGATAAGCAACAATGGACAGAGCCCCAGTTCCTTGTTGGCTTTAGCATCTTAGCAAAAGTTCTTAAGATACAAATCTAATGTCCAAAGAAACCCTTTCCAATCCTCATTTTTTCAGTGTGCTATATATTCCCTAAGGGGGGGGGCTGAAGGTAGGGAGGGATGCTTGTGCCATGATCTCTCTTCCAGATCATTTCTTTGGGAAAGTAGGATTTTAAATGAGGTAGATGACAATCATGAAATGACACATTTTCCCCTTAGCAGATGTAGTGAGTGATTTAGTCCAAATAACTCAGGCCAGACAAAATTCCTGAACAAACTGCTTGGAAGATGTGCCTGACGCTCTACAAGATTTAGTCAATGTCAGAAAACAGGAGCTAAAAATAGAGCCCCCAAGTAAGAAACAAAGCAGGGGTCTGCTAAGGAGCTCACGAGAGCTGCCTGAGCACTTTCACACGGATCTAGGTCACACTGGGAGAATGTATACGTCACAGGACTCTCTGACGAGTTGAAAGGAAGCAGGGGAGGAAAGGAAGAACAAAGAAAGGAAGGACAGAAAAAAGCAAGGAATCAACTGATCAATCAGCTCTTACTATGTGCAGAGCCCCAGGCTAAGCTTTAAGGATACAAAGACCCAAGGGAAGCAGTCCCTGCCTTCAAGAAGCTTACATTCCATCAGGAAAGACAACATGCACGTGTTGGAATATGCAGAATAAATACAAGGTAAGTTCTCTGGTTTTGCAGTAGCAGCTGCTGAGAGAGAAGAGCAGAGAAATCCTCCAGGAGAAGGTGATGCTTAAGCTGGGTTTTGCAGGAATTACCAGGGATTCTAAGAGGTGGGAATGAGGAGAGGACTATACTCTAGGCATAGGGACAGTGTGGGCAAAGGAAGGGGAAGAGGGAAGGGGGATGGGAAGAAAAGAAAGGAAGGGTAGGAAGAAAAGAGGGGAGGAAGGGGAAGAAGAAATGAAGGAGGGGAAGGAAGGGAAAGAAAAGGGGAGGGAAGAAAGGGAAGAAGGAAGAGAAGGAGGGAGAGAAAGCAGGGCAAGAAATATGGAATGTAATGAAAGAGGGAGGAAAGGAAGCAAGAGAAGGAAGGCAGGAAGATAAAGGTGGAAGGATGGAGATGGAGGAAAGGAAAGGGAAGAGGAAGGGCAGAAGAAATCAGATAAGGGGCAAAAGACAAGAGGAGAAAGGGAAGGAGAGAGGAAGGAAAGGGAATGGGAAATAAGAGAAGAGGAAGAAAAAAGAGAGTGTAAGGGGATGGGGAAGATATCCCAGAAAAGAAGGGAGGGAGGAAAAGGCATGAAGGGGAGGGAGAAGAGAGAAAGAGGAGTAAGAGAAAGGAGGAAAGAAAGCAATGAATGGGAAAGCAATGAAGGGAAAGGAAGAGGTAAATAAGGAGAACCCATACAGAGAATGTAACACTACCAACACCATATGGGTTTAAACAATAATGAAAGCTAAATTACTGACATCAAGATCAAAATTTAAAATCAAAGACCTAAGAAAGAGAAAATGATGGAGTCTCATCTTAAGAGACTGTCAATCCATCCATTATAGATAATAAATGTAAAACAATACAGCTAGCTCATCTATCTTTGGTCACATAAGATTATCAAAATATTTATTCTTGAATCATGCAATCTTTCACAGACTAAATAAAAACGCCCAAATACCGTGAAGCCTTAGGAAAAAAAATCCACAGACTTCTCCATAAACTTCCTGACTTCTGGGGGTTTGAATCTGATCCCATTAAAAAATGAACAAAAATCCCCTGGATCCCTGGCACCTCTGAGCTCCTCAGCCCTGGAGCTCTCTCCCCCAAGCACAACCTCCCCTGTTCCTGACCCTTCTAGTCCTTGTTCCTCCTACATCTGCTCTTCCTCTTCAGGATGGCCTCCAGACCAGCATACTCCTTCTTAGCCATTAGCTCCCTTCAGCTGCTCTTGGTCCTAGACCTAGTCTGGGTTCTAAGGCCAGTCACTTTCATGTGCTCATCGCCACCCTAGAATCTCTTACCCTCTTGAATGTACTATTTGTTATTGAATATCAGTGATTATTATTGGTTTATTATTGATTTTCCACCACTTCCAGCCTGCCTGAAAATTCCCATTGTAGCACTGCATCACATCTATACGTATCAGTGGACCATCCATACATATTGCTGGACCACCTACATGTATCACTGGACCATATCTACATGTATCCGAGGACCATCCACATGTATCACTAGACCATCCACGCAAATCGCTGGACCATCTACATTCTCTCTTCCTTCAATGCTAAGAGCTTCCAGATAACAAGAAGTCCTCATTCATTTTACTCAGTATAAATTCATGCTACCTAACCTCAGTGGTCGACTCCTGTTCACCAATCCTTTTACTTATCTCTCTCTTTTTTTGTTCTGGACCTGAAGTCCCATCAGTATGAGGATTTCCTACCGTTGTCTTTGAAGGATGTCTGAGCGCCCTGACAGGTTAAGTAGCAGATCCATGGCCACACAGCTAGGACGTATCATATCAGGGGTAGGACCTAAACCCATGTCTTCCTACCCTGAAGACTGGATCCACTCTACCACATCCACTACACCACTCAGCCTCTCTATTCCTCTCTCAATGATTCTCTTTGGCATACCAGCAGCTGTTTCAAATCTTGCCCAATCCTTCTCAAGCTACCAAGCCTCCTCTCACCCCACCAGATGACCCTACTTCCCACTCTGAGATCAAAGTCATTGGACCTAAATTCTTGCATATGAGTCTTTATAAGTCTTTCCTCTATTACACACCCTCAGACTTCTGCATGTTTGCCTATTCATTCTTTCTCACCTCCTGTTTTCCAGTGGAAGAGACATCTCTCCTTTTCTAAGGCTGATCCTCACCACCACCATGTACACAACCCCATACACTTGGCCCCAATCCTACACCACCAATGATAGGGCACTCCCTCTCCCACTGCTCTCCAGTCTTCTCACAACCCCATCATGTTGCCTCCTAAAAGGTCAAGTGGGTGAAGGGGACTAGTAGGAAATAAGGCTGGAAAGGTGGTTTGCAGCCAGACTGAGGGCCTTAAATGCAAATGCCAAAATGAGGAAGCCAAGAGGGAGTCATTGAAGGGTGGCAAGCTGATCAGATCAGTGCATGAGGAGGAGGATTTTGGCAGTTGCTGGGGGGGGGGGTGGATTAGACAAAGCAAAGATGGAGTCATGGAGGCCAGTTCAGGGGCTTGCATTGGGACTGCAAGTGAGGGGACAGAGGTGAGGGGTGTTGGGGAGGCAGAACTGCCAGAACCTGGCATCTGACAAGATGTCCAGCTGAGGGAAGGAAAAGATCAAAGGCGATTACTCTGAGGACTTGAGTCTAGGTTACGAGGAAGATGGTGACCTCATTCAGTTTGGGATAGTTTAAGCTTGAGGTTTAGAATTCAAGTGGAACTATCCAGAAGACAGCCTGAGAGGCAAAAACAGCTGAGATAGAAGGGGCCAGAGGTACTGGTCTATTACCAGTGTGACCCTGGGGAAGTCATTTCATGTCCTGGGCCTCAGTTTCCTCAGTAAAATTCTGGGGTTGGCCTTTGACATCCCTCAAGCTATGCTCTTCTATCAAAAAAGTCATCTCACAGATGACACTTGATTTCCCCCTGGCAGGAAGCCATACGAGAGGCAGTGGCCTAGTGAATACAGTTCTGGACTTGGAGTCAGAACGAACCGGGTTCAGATCCTGCCACTGTATGATCAAGTCCTTCACCTTGCTAACCCCCAGCCAGCTTGCCCGTAAAATGGAAATAAGAGTAGCAGAGTACAGAGTTGTACACCTCAAAGGAGCTTGTGTTTAGAAAGTGCTTTGCACCCTCAGCCAGCGTCCCAAGAGGAGGCACATCCTTTAAAACACACAGTCCCTTTTCTCTGATTTGTCTTCCTCACACGTTTTCCCCCAAAGGAAGATGAAGCCCCCCCTCAGAGTCATATCAACACACTGACTTACTTTGGTGTCCAAGACAGACATTATCCTTTCCTTGGCTTCCTTAACATTTTCCTTCTTTCCAGAGACCTTAATATGAGGATCTATAAGAAAAGAAAAAGAAAATTAAAATGACACATGTGAAAACTCCCAACTCTTGAATTCTGCTTGTTTTACCAAGTTTTACTGATGCCCTTTGTTTTCGAAGTCTTTGTTTCCTCACTCCCACCCCTCCCCAATCCCACTTAGTACCAAAGGAAAACAACTAAAAAAAACAAATCTCCTGAGAGGAGAGAAATCTGTTCCATTGTCCATTCCCCTTGACCAAGACGGTGCTAATCAGAGCTCTGGCTCTAACATGATCAGTAACAATCTAACACAGGCATCTCAGATTCAAGCAAACCACTCTTCACAAGGTTGTGACAAGTCAAGTCCCTGCCACATGAAACAGGAACTTGGCCGGCCCCCTAATGACCTTCTTCTCTACCACTAATTTCTCCCCATTCTGGGAAGTCATCCAATCATTTTACTTTCATTTGGCTTCTACATAAAACAGTCACATGAAATACACAAATACCATGACACTATCAAGTCAACCTGGAGGTCAACAGGGTTTAACCTTCTTAGGCCAAAGGTTCAGGTGAGTCAGTGGTCAACACATTGGTAATGGTGGAAAGCCAACATTCTGAGTTGGAGTCATTCTAACCCTGAAAATGGGCTCCAGCCTTCATTTTGATGCTTTAAGAATTGGCATCTTGATTGTTGAGGTTACTTCTAACACTGATGGAGAGCCCACCCCAACCCTCTAGGACAGAGGTTCTTAATAGTTTCCATGTATATCACAGGACCCTCTGTCACTCAGTGGCACTTTGTCCCCTCCTGGCTGTTTCTGATTCTCTTGACTTTGCTCCTCTGTCTCTCCTGCCACGTCACCCTGAAACTTCCCCCTGAGCCTGGAGCCTCCTGACTGAACATCTATCCACCAAGATGTTGTTACCCTGGAACATCCATCCTCCTCTGCATCCTTCTCGCTGTGGAACATCCCTCCACCATGCCAGTTCCCTTTCACCATTGGTGAGCTCCTCCCAGGGCCTCCATTTTGGAAAGGGGCCTTTGTTTCCCTCCAGGCTCTGCTTCTGACTTTCCAGCTTTTGACACCATGCCCCCTCTGTGGGCACCTTCCCCTTTCCCATCCCCCTTTTCATCTCCCTTTTGTGTACTGTCTTGTTGTCTTCCTTCATTAAAATATAAACTCCCTGAGAACAGGGACCATCTTCCTTTTAGTTTGCTCAGGAAGTGCAGAATAAATGTCTGTTGCCTTTCCTTGGTTGCCTGGTGAAGTCTACAGAACCCTTGTCAGAATCATGCTTTTAAATAACTGAAGGAATCACATTTCAGGCAGAAATAAGTGAAGATAAGATGCAAGTTTTCCCCTCCAAATTCATGAACACCCTGAAATCTACCCCTGGATCTCAGTTTAGGACCCACTTTCCTAAGAGATGGTCTCTACAGTCAAAAAGCGCATCACCCTCCAGGCCACCTGGTGTTGAACCACTCTACTCTGGGCTAGGCTATGCCTCAGATGACAAACATTTAATTCAACACCAGGCCTATAGCAGAAGTCTCCACGATTCGGCTGGGCCTGCCTGTGTTCCATTGGGTGTTGCACCTGAAGACCCCAGATCATCTCTGTGCCACATGGCAAATGGTCACAGTTGCAAAGAGGGACTGGTTTGAGGTTCGAATTTGTGTGTGTGCGTATGTGCTTTAATATCTTAGAACTGTCATTATTTGGTTAACATCTAGGGAGAGTACGATACCCCTTAACAGTAGGGGTGTGTGTGTGTGTGTGTGTGGGTGTGGGTGTGGGGGTGTGTGCGTGCTTTAATATCTTAGAACTGTCATTCTTTGGTTAATATCTAGCAAGAGTACGATACCCCTTAACAGTAGGTGTGTGTGGGGGGGGGGTGCGCGTGCTTTAATATCTTAGAACTGTCATTCTTTGGTTAATATCTAGGGAGAGTACGATACCCCTTAACAGTAGGGGTGTGTGTGTGTGTGTGTGTGTGTGTGTGTGTGTGTGTGTGTGTGCGTGCGTGCTTTAATATCTTAGAATTGTCATTCTCTGGTTAACATCTAGGGAGAGTATAATACCCTTTAATAGTAGATGTGTGTGTGCACACACATACCTAGAGCTAAAGATGTACGATTTCACTGGTGGGAGGGACTCCCAATGTGGGAACTCCCTCTTGTCTGACTTAGTAGATAAGTCTTAAGAGAATAGTCTAAGGCACAAAGCGGCTGATTACTTGCTTAGAGTCAGACAGCTGGTAAGGACCACAAGCAAGACTTAAGCCTAGGTCTTCCTGATTTCTAAGTCCACCAGCCTGTGGCATGTTTTCTCACATAAAAGTAGATGGGAGACACAGACAGCAGAGACCCAGAGAGAAATGTATCCACACCCATAAGTGTATAAAGATGACAGGATCATGGCACTAGAAGAAACGTCTGGGATCATCTAGTCCAACAGTCTCCCTGGAGGCCACACAAGAAGCCTCCTATACACAACAAGCATGCCTGTGTTCATCCTAATGACAGCTTTAACCCAGATCGAGGCTGACACAGTAAAGGTTGCCAAGGTGATATTCATAAGCCACCAACCACTGCTCTTTCAAACCCATGGTTTCCAAATCTTCTCGTCAATCAGTCAGCCAATGAAGAAGCCTTATGAAGCCCTTCCTGCATGCCAGGCACTGTGTTAAGGGCTGGAGATACAAAAAAAGGTAGAGAGTCCCAGCTCTGGAGGGGCTCTCATCTTTCATATCCTTCCACCCAAACCCAGGCCATGCTCTAAGCCAACAGCCAAGATGGGCAAGGAAGGGGAGACTGATCAAGAGATCAGCCTGGGAAGTCTCCTGGTCCCCTGCCACAAAGACATAGCAAGGGTATCTCCAGACAATGCCATGCCTCCGGAAGCAGAAGGTCAGAAATGGACACACCTAAGCTCACCCAGGCAATAAGGAGCAGATGAAAGAGACTCTGCCAAAGCAAAATGGTCTTATGAGCAGAGCCCAGGTCTGGGCAGGTCCTTCAATGCCCTTCTCGCTCCACTTACCTACCATCTTAACATTTATGTTATACGTATGCAAATATATGCAGATAAATGAATAAGACGTTCATGAAGATACAAATATGAATAACACATGTACCCACATGGGGGTGGGGTAGAGCAACAAGGAAAGAGAAGCAAAATCTTAATTATGACATTTTATGTAACTCCAGGGTTTAATGAACTATCTCAAAGGCTTTTTCAAAGATGATCTCTCTGGAAAAACTGATGGGTAGGTAAGAAGAGAAACAGACCGTCACAGAAAGAGGGAAGCATGTGTGTGTACGTGTATACATATGTGTGTGTGTGTGTATATATATATATATATATATACATACATATATATATATATATATGTATGTATATGTATATACACATACATATATACACACACACACATATACTCAAATACACATATAAGACAACATAAGAAACCTCATGTGAACACTGGACAGGTCCAGCAAAGGCTCTCACTTCAAGGCCTTCATCAGGGACTGCGGTCTCAGGGTGCTTTAGGGCAAAGAGAAATAGAGTAAGAGTCAGTAGACTGAACTTCTAGTCCAGGCCCTACCCTTGGCCTTTTGAGTGACTTTAGGCTAGTCATTGTCTCGGTTTCCACATCTGTAAGATGAGAATGAAGGGCAGCTAGGTACTGAATAGAGCACCAGCTCTGGAGTCAGAAAGACCTGAGTTCCAGTCTGGCATTAGACATTTACTAGCTGTGTGACCCTGGGCAAGTCACCAAGCCTTGTTTGCCTCAATTTCCTCATCTGTAAAAATGAGCAGGGGAAGGCAATGGCAAACCACTCTAGTATCTCTGCCAAGAAAACCCCAAAAGGAGTCACGGAGAGTCAGATATGACTGAAACAACTGAACAACAACAACAAAATAAGGATGGCACCATTCATTCACCAGACGCTTGTGAAGCAGCCCCTCTGCACCAGGAGCCCCTGCCCTCATGGGGCTTACATTCTACTGGGATCATGCCATCTGTTCTAGCCACTTCTCAGAGATCCTGAGAAAATCAAATGAGACAAATACGGCAAAGCAACGTGCAAAGCAGAAGCACCCTGGCCTCGAAGCTTCCCAAACGCCCACTCCTCTGTGTGATCTGATGATTTCATGCCTGGTCCATACAAAGCGAAGATCTGTGTTGGTCTTTACAGCTCCCCTCAGCTCCCCCAAGAATTGTCTGCAAGATACTGACAAAACGTGTGGTTTGTCCTGCACTGTAAGTATCCACTAAAACCTGGCAGTGGACGTAAACATCTATATTCCACTGGAGAGAGTCTCAAGCTGCCCTCAGATCACCCTTCTACTCTGGTAAAAATTATGGGTGGCTAGCCCCATGGGAACCTGCCGCTCCAGCCCAGGAGATCTAAGCAGACGTGTCCTTGGGGGCTCCAGTTCTCCTTTCTCTTACCGTCTGCATCAAGAAGATAAAAGTGTACATGTCCAGGAGGCATCTACAGGATGGAATCACTAGGCTTTCGATCCCTTGGTGCCTCAGAACACAGCTTAAAGACCATGTGCTATGAAAGCCTTTCCCGAGCCTGCTCATCTCCAGTGCTATCCCCCTCAAAACTGCGGAGAATTTTTAAAAATCGATTTTGTATTTATGTTCATTAGTATATGTTGTCTCCAGGACAGAATGAGGACAGGGACGGTTTCATTTTTGTATTTGTATTTTGTATCCCCAGTGCCTCAGCGCCATGCTTGCTGGATGACTGACTAGCTTAGAGCCAGAAGAGACCTATAGATCTTTTAACACAAATTGGTCATTTCACAGATGGGGAAACTGAAGCCCTGAAAAAAAAAACATACCTAGGAAGCCAGGTGGTTCAATGGATAGAGCCTAGAGTCAGAAAGACCCTAGTTCAAATCCACCTTCAATCACTTACTAGCTGTGTGACCCTAGGCAAGTCACTTAACCTCTGCCTCAGTTTCTTCTACTGTAGAATGGAGACAGTAACAGCACCTACCTCCCAGGGTTGT